TCCTTCCTTGCCTCCTCCCTTGCTCTTCCTTTCCGTCTATCTCGCCTTAAACAGTAATGTCTCTCTCTCTCTCATAAATCTTCAACAATCAATTTATTCATCCATCTGTTTAGTGTACTGTAGTGTAGTGTAGTGGAGTCCATCTATGTGTCAACTTCTTTTTTACGAAGTCTCACAGCTGTCTCATCCTTCATTATATTTCTTCAACACATATTAATCCTGTCAGTTTATAAGCTTCGTGTTAGTAAGTCTTTCATAATGTAACTCAATACGTCTGGTGAGGGGGAGGTGCCGTCTCTTACCTGGCTAATATTTCTGTACTAACTCTACTCTTTAATTAATCCGTCCTACCTGCCTGCTAATTAATTTTCTCTACCTGTCTTTACTTTTCCTTGAGAGGCACCAAACACGTCCTCTCCCTGACCATGGCCACTTACCATGGCTACCCGTCTACCCCACCATGGCCACTTCTTTACTATATGATGCAAATTGGCCATTGTGATTCTTTCCACCTGGCCAACCCAGATACTCAGTATGACTACATAACAATGACCTTGACGCTCCTGACACGGTTATTTTACTTCTTTTGGTGACGATTTATTCTATTTTAGCGAAACAAGAAAAAAGCATCAAATATTCTAAAAATTATTACCCAACACCACCTTACCCCAACCCTAACCTAACCTAATCTAACCTAACCTAACCTAACCTAACCTAACCTAACCATCAAGCTGTGTAGTCAATTATTATCGTGAATGTGATCCAACCTGCCACTCCTTTCTGCAGACTCACCTGTACTCACTCAATCACAAGCGACAGATAGACAGCTTAATTAAGTCAGGGATGATATGAGAGGTTGTGGATTACCTCCCAGACCAGGTAAGGAGGGTGGAGGGAGTGTCCAGGTAAAACAGGTGGTGGATGTAGTGCCCACGTAGCAGAGGTAGTGGAGGTAGTGACCAGGTAACACAAGTAGTGGAGGAGTGGTGGATGTAGTGCCCAGGTAGCAGAGGTAGTGGAGGTAGTGACCAGGTAACACAAGTAGTGAAGGTAGTGCCCAGGTAACACAGGTAGTGGGGCTGGTGTGAACACATTGTAAGGACAAGTTCATCAAGGTGCCACAATAACTCGTTCGGAATTACTGCTCTACAAGACACAACAGTGAGACCAGGTAACAACATGTGACTGGAATGGATTTAGATGTGGAACGCTATTAATGTTAACACCTGCTAGTGACCGAGGAAACGCAGTATAATGTGGGGGAGGGGGCGGAGGGAGGTGTAAGGCGTTGGTTGGTTAGCATCAAGCAGAAGCTAAGTGGAATATACAATGTTGTGTTGGATAGTTTCTTGAAGGGGTAGATATTGGTAATCTCTCTCTCTCTCTGTCTCTCTTTCTGTCTCTCTCAACCACTTCCCCGTGTGCACTACCCAACCATTCTTCGGGCATTACTTCACTACACAAACACACAAATATCATCACAGATAAAGTTGGTGCAGGTATAATCCGCCTTGAGCTGTTTTATACTGTAATCTGAGAGAACAAAATCCTGAACTGTACTATATTGACATCGCTGTAAGCAATGTTAAGTCTCTGGCATAAGAGTTGTGTAAGAGTTTTATTGGGTCCATCTAAGCGGATTAGTTGATGTGATGATGTGTCTGTGTCGTAGTTATGAGAGATGAAATATAGTGTAGTTATCGTTACTAATATAGGTGATGCAGACTCAACGCAGCGATAGTGAGCGAGTTATCTGGTGGTGATGGTGGATGTGGGGGTAGTGATGATGGTGGTGGTGGTTATAAGGGTGGTGGGGGCGATGGTTATGGTGACCTACAGTGTCTTACATATCTGCATCTTGTCAGTGCACTAAACAACAACGAAACATTAGTGATTATTATACTTATATTTTTCCATCAACATAAACTAGTAACAACAACAGATGCATTTATTATACTCGAACTTCAATCCTATAGTGAACGTGACATAAGAATCAACATACTCGTCTTGAACTCGAATTAACCAGGTGTAGTGAACGAATGCCTTCTTAATCATCAAAGCTACAGGAAAATATAAAACCTTTGTCGAGATAAAAAGAAACACATGAAAAGATTTTACACTCTACAGTACCAGAAGAGTAATGTGTGTTCCCCAGTCAAGCAGTTCACTATTATCTTACGAGCATCACGGCTACACTATCATCCGGACAAAGACCCAGATTTTAGACCGATGGACAAGAACATTTCAAGGAATGGCTCGAACGTGAAGCTTGTGTTGAAGCTGTAGCACTGGAGCAAATATCTCAATTTCTACATCAAAGGGAAACTTGTTGAAGTCTTTGTCTGAAGTCATGAAAGTAGTGAAAGCTCGATAATACTTTACTGTTGTCGCGCGTGTGTGGGTGTCTGTGTCTGTGTCTGTGTCTGTGTGTGTGTGTGTGTGTGTGTGTGTGTGTGTGTGTGTCTGTGTGTGTGTGTGTGTGTGTGTGTGTGTGTATCTAAACCAACAATTTTGAAGAATTATTTTATTAAAAGTCGTTCCTTACTTTAAGAATAGCTTATATTATCTACATACTTTTATTTGTTGTTGATGTCTTTTAAATCTTTTTCTTAACCCCTTAAATCTTTCCCTCACTCTGGTTTACCCCCTTAAATCTTTCCCTCACTCTGGTTTACACCCTTAAATCTTTCCCTCACTCTGGTTTACACCCTTAAATCTTTCCCTCACCCTGGTTTACACCCTTAAATCTTTCCCTCACTCTGGTTTACACCCTTAAATAAATCTTTCCCTCACTCTGGTGGCCTTGCTCAGGCTTTTCACTCAACAAGTTTGTGTGAAATTCAGCAAATGGTCAGTGGTCTGCCCGTGACAACTTCTCATCAGCGGGGAAGTGTAGCCAGCAGCAGCAGCCAGTGACGCCCGTGCACACACACACACACACACACACACACACACACACACACACACACACACACACACACACACACACACACACACACACACACACACACACACACACACACACACACACACACACACACACACACACACACACACACACACACACACGCGCGGATACTTTCGCCAACTTTCGCAATGTTTCAACACTTCAACTCAAAATGTCTCGCAAAACTTATGTTCCTACATTTCTTTTGAGTCTACGTTGGTTTTATTTCTTGACATATGTTGTTCAAGCAAGACTAAACAGTTAGGTTAGGTTAGGTTATCTGAAACATAGTCTACCATAACATAGAAAATATAAGTACACTGAATTGCGCTGAATGAACGTAGCAAGTAATGGAAAGTGTTTATATTTGCTGTAACCTTTTTTTATATAACAGGAACAATCAGTAACCTGGCTAGAATTTGTAGAGGATTGGATAAATTCAATTATTTTTTTTAGACAGTTGCGACAGAACACTTCACCCGGCCAACAGAACACTTCACCCGGCCAACAGAACACTTCACCCGGCCAACAGAACACTTCACCCGGCCAACAGAACACTTCACCCGGACAACAGAACACTTCACCCGACCAACAGAACACTTCACCCGGCCAACAGAACACTTCACCCGGCCAGCAGAACACTTAACCCGGCCAACAGAACACAGGACAGGGAGATGAGATTCCCAGGTTCTTAACAGAGGCTGGTCCCGTTTATTTTCAAGTTACCTGCGTTGATATACAGTAGCTTAGTCGTTCATTCTTTATGTGTAAGGTGGTGACTGGAGTAAGGTGGTGACTGGAGTAAGGTGGTGACTGGAGTAAGGTGGTGACTGGAGTAAGGTGGTGACTGGAGTAAGGTGGTGACTGGAGTAAGGTGGTGACTGGAGTAAGGTGGTGACTGGAGTAAGGTGGTGACTGGGTAGGTGGTGAGGTGGTGGTGACTGGGTAAGGTGGTGGAGTAAGGTGGTGACTGGAGTAAGGTGGTGACTGGAGTAAGGTGGTGACTGGGAGTGAAAGTGGTGACTGGAGTAAAGTGGTGACTGGAGTAAGGTGGTGACTGGAGTAAGGTGGTGACTGGAGTAAGGTGGTGACTGGAGTAAGGTGGTGACTGGAGTAAGGTGGTGACTGGAGTAAGGTGGTGACTGGAGTAAGGTGGTGACCAGGTGTTACGTACCAGCCTTGTTGTTTGTACAGGTGAGGCTCAACGCTACAGGTTATTACGACGCAGTGAACTAATTACTCACTTCATTATGTAACTCATCCAGAAATAACTGTATTAATCATATATGTTATAATACAAACTATTTATTGAAAACTTTATTATGTTATCATGATTTAGTAAGAGTTGTGATATCCTGTGTCGTAATAAAATGTTAATAATATTGAGTTTATACACACACACACACACACACACACACACACACACACACACACACACACACACACACATATTCTTTTTTTCAATACCTAGGCCATTCTTTACATAATAGTATCATTAACCGAATAAATTAAACCTCTGCTAATAACGCGCCTTTCCTGAATAAAAACTAAACGATTGAACGACAACAAATTTACGGGAGGACATAAATTTATTAATGGGGTAAAAAAAAATGCTCTGGTAGTTTGATTAATATCTGGTTATTATAATACATATTGTGTAGTGTATTGTATCGACGACCACACGAGGATACAACAACAATATGAAGGAAAGCCACTAACATATAGTATACCAGTGTCTCTCCTCTGTAAGACGTAGAGGTCAGGTCAGGTCAGGTCAGGTCTTTAGTTTAACAGGTGTGACAAAGTGACAAACTACTCAGCAGGTGTCACGTGTCAGCCAACAGGTGTCACATACTACTCAGTAGGTGTCATGTGCCATCCAACAGGTGTCACATACTACTCAGTAGGTGTCATGTGCCATCCAACAGGTGTCACATACTACTCAGTAGGTGTCATGTGCCATCCAACAGGTGTCACATACTACTCAGCAGGTGTCATGTGCCAACCATCTTTAGTTTAACAGGTGTCATTAACGAGTGTGTTGTGCCCACAGGGTTCGAGCGGCAGGTGCCAGGTTATCCTCGTTACTCCTACGCAGGTGACCCGTCGCTGGGCCAACACCACCTGGTCATCAGCGGCATCACCATCACTGAGGACGGCGAGTATCAGTGTCAGGTTGGCCCCACCCAGACTAACCCACCAATCTGGGCCTCTGCTAACGTCACTGTGCTTGGTAAGTTGGGTTGTGAGGGAGAGTGTGAGGGAGTGTATGGGAGAGTGTGAGGGAGAGTGTGAGGGAGTGTATGGGAGAGAGAGAGAGAGAGAGAGAGAGAGAGAGAGAGAGAGAGAGAGAGAGAGCCAGATAACCCCCAGTATAATAAATATACTGAAATGTAGAAGAGAGAATTAAATAACAGTAATAATTTCCTTACACAAACTCTACCCTTAAAAAAAAAATATATATATATATATATATAATGCAATAAAAAACCCCCAGAACATTCATTAAACACATAAAACTTTTCTCCTCAAATTAACTTTCAGATAAACCTGTGAATACGAAGATTATCTTTTAGTTTTGATTTCACAGACAATACTCACGTCAGGAAAGTTTTTGGTTGATGTAAACAGAAAAAAAAATATTTCAACCTAACCTAACCTAGCCTAACTTAACTTAACCTAACCTAACCTAACCTAACCTAACCCAACCCAACCTCAAGACGCAATACATCCTCTTGGTGATAATGCACGATGCCATTATAGAAAAAAAAATCAGAATTACAAATTTCTCAAAAATTTATATTACAAATAAAAAAGATAATTTATACGTTATCGATAAGGTTTTATGGCTGAAATATATCAACAGTGTATCCCGAGACAGGAAAACAGTGTATCATAATCTGTCATTCGATCGTCGCTTTTATCGTTACTAATCGTGGGGGTGATTCTGTCAACAACATAGACGGGTTAAAACTGTCTTATCACTGTCTTTCACACCTGTACTGTCCTTACACACACACACATACTTGTCTGTCTCACATGGCTATGGTGTTTAAACGTAATCTCACTGTATCTGGTGTTAAATAGTGAAGCACCACAAGACACTATCATTATATAAGACTAGTTTTAGGGAAGGAATTCATTTAAAAATCTGTGGTTTAGGATTTTCAGCAGTGAATGAATGGTTTTATTGTTCTCATGAAGATAGTGTGTGGTGGTATGGTGGGGTATGGTAGTGTGGTAGTATGATGGTGATATGTGGTAGGATGGTGGTGTGGTGGGTATACTATCACCATACCACACAACACCACCCATACTACCTCACACTACCACACACAACCATACTACCTCACACTACCACACACCACCACACCAAAACTGCTCGCCTCAGCTAACTTACCATCACGGACCATTACACACCCTACTCACCCATGCTGTGTGTGTAGGTGTTTGTGTGTTTGGTTATGTGTGTTTTTTGTGAGTGCACATATGGGTGTATACATGTGGATATGTTCTCTTGTCTTTGAATCTGTGTTATGTGTATGTTTGTTTGTGTCTGTTTATATATGTGTGTGTGTATGATTGTGTATGTATAATTGTGTTTGTGATTATGTGTATGTGTGTTTGTGTCTGTAATTTATGATAAGAACGACGATACAAATTGGTTCTTTTTTGGTAAACAATGATTATTCCTCTACGTCACTTACTGTTTATCTCTCCCTCATCCTCCCTCATCTCTCCCTCATCCTCCCCTCAAGTCTCCCTCACCCCTCCCTCATCCCTCCCTCAGCTCTCCCCCATCCTTCCCTCAGCTCCCCCTCACCCCTCCCTCAGCTCTCCCTCATCCCTCCCTCAGTTCCCCCTCCCTCATCCCTCCCTCACCCGTCCCTCATCCCTCCCTCAGCCTCTCCCTCATCCCTCCTCACCCCTCCCTCACCGTCCCTCATCCCTCCCTCACCCCTCCCTCACCCCTCCCTCACCCGTCCCTCATCCCTCCCTCACCCCTCCCTCAGCTCTCCCTCAGCTCTCCCTCAGCTCTCCCTCAGCTCCAACACACCACTCAGAATCCTTTACATGCTTGATGGCTCAGCTGGTGTCGTCCGTCACTTTTATTATTTTTGCTTTTCCTGAAGATCCTGGTGGAGAGCATTGTCTCTGACGGCACCACCCCCCTCCTCTCTTTTTACTGTAGGGGGTTTTGATCGATGTACGTTGTCACCACTGTAGCTGGAGTGGCAGTTGTGGCCGCTGTTGACGTTTTCCTACACATATAACCTCTCAGATGTTCCTTTAGGCAGACTTTAGCCTCAGTTTTATTTTTATTTTTATTTTATTTTTTTTAATGTATATTGGCCCCCATCCTCCCCTAATAGCCATACCTTCACCACTATTTTATTATCTTAAAATTAATTGGTACTTAGATGATATACGGAAGTAAGTTTTAAAATCAAGGCTAAAAAAAACAAACAAACTTGATTGGGCCTCAGAAAGTGGGCTCAGGTATGACGTCACTGATGGTACTTGGAACAAAAACAGCAACAACAACAATAAATAACAACAATAAATAACAACAACACAACAACAACCATAACGATTATTTAGGCCGGTGAATACTAACGTGAAACACATATATACAAGGAAACTATTCAAGAAACGTTGCTATACGGTTAGATTAGGTTAGGTAAGAGAATAGTGAAGTAAGCTCTCGTTATGTCAGTAGATGAAAAAAATAACCCCCACACGAAACTAATTAATCATAACACTGATTTAATTCACTAACATAACAACCACAAAGCCTCACGCCCTTCAGGTTCAGAGCCTCCAGGTCACTAACTCTCTCCTTACACACTATCTTTTCTCTCTCTCTCTATTCCCCCTTTATCCACTCCCCTGTTATCTCCTTAATGTAGTGTTCGATATTTCTCTTCTACACCGTGGGGCAGAGGGGTATAGTCTTCCTGTACCTGACACACTTATACCGACACACAGTCACCCTACACCCTCTTCACCAGCTCCTACACCCTCTTCACCAGCTCCTACACCCTCTTCACCAGCTCCTACACCCTCTTCACTCGCTCCTACACCCTCTTCACCAGCTCCTACACCCTCTTCACTCGCTTTCAATATCTCAGCGAACATAACCTTATAAATGGTAATGGAAGGTTAGGTCAGGTTAGGTCAGATCAGGTCAAGTCAGGTTACGTTAGGTTAGTTTAATTTAGGTTAAGTAACTATAAAAAAAAATAAAGAAAGATTAAAGGCAAAAATGTATATAAGAAGAGAATAAAAGACAAAAGACAACAAATTCTTTTCATAAAATGTTTGTGGTGTGTTGTTATACTGTGGTTGTATGTGGTCGTGTACTCAACAGTGCCACCAAGGAGCGTGGAGTTCTCAGGGTGGCGAGACGGTGCAGTGGTGGAGGTAGTGGCCGGCGTCTCACTCACTCTACAGTGCCTGGTGAAGGACGCTCGACCCGCCCCTAGTGTGTGGTGGTACAGAGACGGACTACAGCTGGATCAAGGTGAGTGACACATAACACGGATCAAGGTGAGTGACACATAACACGGACCAACGTGAGTGACACATAACACGGATCAAGGTGAGTGACACATAACACATTCATGTATAAAGTAGTACAGGTGTGATGTGTTCTACCAGGAAATATTTTTTTTTAAAGAAATTAATTGAATAGTATATAATATCACGGTTAGGTTATTAAAGGAATAATTTAGTTTGCCCATTAGGGTTTATCATAGAAAACGATTCTTCTGGACATATACACTTCATCGTCTCCATCACCAACAGTAGGTCTCCAACACTAACAGTAGGTCTCCAACACCAACAGTAGGTCTCCAACACCAACAGTAGGGTCTCCATCACCAACAGTAGGTCTCCAACACCAACAGTAGGGTCTCCATCACCAACAGTAGGGTCTCCAACACTAACAGTAGGTCTCCATCACCAACAGTAGGGTCTCCAACACTAAGGGCATGTCTCCATTACCACAGGGTCGGTCCAGGAGCGGGTGGAGGAGTCGTCACTGCCAAGACGGTGGAGCGTCAGGAGTCGGCTGGTGGTGACGGCGACGGCTGAGGACGACGGCAAGTTGTACACGTGTGAGGCCGACCACCCCGCCCTCAGAGAAGCCTCCCACCCTCTACTGGCCTCCATCATGCTCTCCGTCCTCCGTAAGTATCTCTATTCTACCCCTTCCTGGCCTCCATCATGCTCTTCTCTCGCGTGAATTCGGTTCTTTCTTTTCATTTCATCTTTCTTCTCCATATCCTCTTGCCTCTCTCTCTCTCTCTCTCTCTCTCTCTCTCTCTCTCTCTCTCTCTCTCCTGCTATATCTTTGTTTAAACGCTTCATCCGCCTAATAAAAATTGACAATATTACCACCTCACCTAACCTAACCCAACCCAACCCAACCTAACCTAACCAAACCCACCTGGTCAACCTCCTGCTCCGGCTCTGGCCCACGAGTACTCTGGGTCATAACATCAATAAACTTAAATGACCCTGAAGCAAAGTTTGTTTATTTACTGTTGTTTGAGTTTGTATAATGTCAGATAAAAAAAAAATGTAAGAAAGCAAAGAATAAGGAGGAATAATAGACGTATTTGGACACACAATTTCGTTCAGCTGTAATTTCTCTGATACAACACACTAATGGTAGAAACGTTTAAACAGACAAAGAGTTACAGATCCATTACCCCTCTTAGATACATAGGGCAGGGGTGAGGGTGAGTCAGTAAGGGGGTGAGTCAGTAGGGGGTGAGTCAGTAGGGGCGAACCAGTACGGGGGGCGAACCAGTACGGGGGTGAGTCAGTAAGGGGGTGAGTCAGTAAGTGAGTCAGTAAGGGGGGCGAGTCAGTAAGGGGTGAACCAGTACGGGGGATGAGTCAGTACAGGGGGTGAGTGTGTCGAGTCAGTAAGGGGTGAGTCAGTAGGGGGGTGAGTCAGTAAGGGGAGTGAGTCAGTAAGGGGAGTGAGTCAGTAATGGGGGAGAGTCAGTACGGGGGGTGAGTCAGTAAGGGGGCGAGTCAGTAAGGGGGTGAGCCACGAGAATAAGGGCTGATGAAGTGGAGTGGCAGATGAAAGCCGACTGAATGTCGAGCCTCTGGGGACAACCAGCCAGTCTACGCCCCGCCAACCACCCCAAAATCATTTCCCAGACAGACAGACAGACAGACAGGCAGACACACTGACACCCCCTCAACAGAGTTATTTGTCCTAACACAATTTTTTAACATTAAACAATCTTTATATGTCATACTAACAAGATATTTATACATATATAATCATGTAAACCTTACAACTATTTTATTTTAGAATAACTGTTCTCTAAAATACTCAACATTTCAATGAATCACTTCGGTATTAATGACTATAATATTGTACAAGTAGTTAGGTTAGGTTTGGTTAGGATAGTCTAGGTTAGGTTAGGTTAGGTTTGGTTAGGATAGTCTAGGTTAGGTTAGGTTAGATAGGTTGCTGAGACCTTCAGCCAGAATGAATTATGCGCAACGCTTCCACTCGGGCTAATGCGACGTTAATTAGCAGGGCTGATGGGTCTAGCACTCACTTGAGATGAATCAATCAGTACCTCCCTCCAGGTCAGTCCTCAGTTGGTAACGTGTGTTTGATGTCAGGCCGGGGCGACGGGGGACAGCAGGAGGAGGATGTGTCTGTCCAGGGATAGTGGGGGGAGGGAGGGAGGGAAAGGGGTGGATAGGGGATGGAGGGAGGGGAGGACAGTGGGGGGAAGAACAGGGGTGAGGTGAAATAAAGGATGACAGCGACTGTCCTCAGAGACGTGAGGACCAAGAAGACGTAGTAGTGGAGTCTCCTGGGTAAACACACACCTTCAACTTATGCTCCACAGATTTCAGACTTACCAAGACTCATCCCAGAGTTTTCATTATATAGAGTAAGCCTTCTAGACCCTACTGTATCTAAGATCAATATTGTGTCTTCAGTTTTACCTTTGTCTGTCACCCCCTTGCCCTTCATTCTACCCAACAGGAAGGTTAGGTTAGGTTAGGTTAGGTTAGGTTAGGTTACGTTACGTTAGGTTACGTTAGGTTAGGCTAGGTTAGGTTAGGCTAGGTTAGGTTAGGTTAGGTTAGGTTAGGTTAGGTTACGTTAGGTTAGGTTAGGTTAGGTTAGGTTAGGTTGAGACATACACATATACGTATCTTTGGAAAGCTAACTCACCCATGTTTTAATTTTGGCTACATCACTACTTAATACTTTATGGTGAAGGTTAAACAAGCAGCAACCAGATGACAAAGTGAAAAAATTACACACTGTATATCTTTTTTTTTCTCAGTAAGGATTAATGTTTAATCGTGATATGTTACATAATAAAACACATTGTTAGTTCTATTTGGATATTATGTCGGGTTTTTTTTATAAACTACAAAGCAAAGACTAAACTAATGAAAGCCATTCATTTTTAACTTTTAACTTTTACTGTTTTAAAGTCAAATGTAAATTAGCATCACAATTATCTTTATTCCACCGGATTTAATAAAAACATCATAAACAAACACTCATATCCCCAAACAATAGCAAATGTGTAGAAAACTTTTAAAACAATTACATCGCTGACGAAATTAAAATAATCACCCACAAAAATCCTGTCGCATCTACTCCTGAACCACGAACCCCGAGATTCATATTCGTGAACCCGAAACAGTAGACACTAATGCACTATTCTGTCTATAATTTCGTGAACGATGTATTAATTCTCGTAAAGGTAATAAATATTTAAATGAAAATTAACAAAAATTGTAACCTAACCTAACCTAACCTAACCTAACCTAACCTAACCTTACCTAGTATTCAATCTCGTATTCGCGTGAACTCAAAGTTACTGACAATCTTTTCTTCCAATTGTTTTCATAAAGGTTTGTTCTGACGATTGGTTACGAAGGTGATTTGTAACTACGGTAAATCCTAACTACGGATCTGTTTACAAATCCCCCGATAACATTGTGGACCAAATTTGACAATAAAAACATAGCCCGAATCTAAATTGTTCTGTTCGAGTTGCCAGTTTGCTTGTCAGTATTTCCCTTCAAGCTTTACATAAAATGAAACGACTGCCTCACTTTGGTTCAGTCAGGGTCGATCAGTGAGCCAATGCGTTGGTATTCTCCGGCTGTTCCCATTGTTGTGTTTGATTGATCTGATGCACCAGAGATAACACGAAAAGGAGACTCCATCTTTGTTAGAATGATGTTGTCTATAAATTATTTTGATTTAATCGTATTGTTGGCGCTAAATATGTGGTAAATAGTAAGGTTCTCCTACGGTAAGTATAATAGATATTTGTTGAAGGTGATTTTGTCTTGGTGTAATTTGATATAACCTTCATGGAGACAATAGTGTGTCTTCATACCGTGGTCTTGACTGCTGGTGGCGACGTCAAAACTAAAAGTAGAGAGTTTTTTTCAAATCCTCCCCAACTCTCCCCCACCGCCCCTCTCACTCTCTCTCTCCTCCTCCACCTCAGGAATTTTTAACACTACTGGCAAGCTTCAAAGCTTTTCTGAGGAAAATCCTTATATAGTGTCAATCTCCATTGCTTTGTCTCTCACAGGTCCCTTGTGTCTCCAGTCACCTTTGTACCCTTTAGCTGTAGTGTCTCCTTTGTCACCTCTTTCTCCTACACACCTACAGAGTCTCCGTCACTGGTTCCCAGAGATACTACACTACTGGTAATCTCTCCTTCTCTACAGTGGTCACCACTGACTCCCACTCTCCCACAGATTGGCCGGGGCCGCCCACACTGACTCCCACTCTCCCACAGATCGGCCGGGGCCGCCCACACTGACTACCACTCTCCCACAGATCGGCCGGGGCCGCCCACACTGACTCCCACTCTCCCACAGATCGGCCGGGGCCGCCCACACTGACTCCCACTCTCCCACAGATTGGCCGGGGCCGCCCACAATGACTCCCACTCTCCCACAGATCGGCCGGGGCCGCCTGCTATCAGCGGGTACAAGACGGGGGAGGTGTTGGTGGCGGGGGAGCGGAGGACCCTGGTGTGCCGAGTCTCAGGGGGCAACCCACGCCCCTGGGTCACCTGGCACCGGCAGGGCCTCCTGCTGGATGACACCACCACCGCCGACGCCTCCGGGGTCATCAACACTCATCAGCTTACTGCCACCGCCGCTGACGACGGCGTTATCTACGAGTGTCGCGTCAGGAGTGACCTTCTGGAGAAGCCGCTGGTGGCCAACGTGTCCCTCACCGTCTACTGTGAGTGTTGTCCTCAGGAGGGAGGGAGGGAGGTAGGTAGGTTTTCTAGAGACAAATTATGGTGTATTAAACGTAACATCGCCTACACTATGACTTCCAGACAGGTCAGGTATTGCCTGAGTAATGTATGCATTACTCCCTAATGCATATAACAAGGTGATTCTCTCACCGTCCTCAAGACTTAATAAGAAACAACGACATACTGACACCCATGTTCAATAAGCCTAAAAATGGATCAAACATAAACATGTGACTAAGTATGTGTCGCTACATATTGCCACATGTTTTGCAGTGTTATAACTTAGACTCAAATATGTGCCAAATGAAATGAAATCCAGGTCATATGATTTACAATACCATAAAGCTTGAGGGCGAGGCGCAGGTGTGGGGGGGGCACAGGTGTGTGTGGGGCACAGGTGTGGGGGGGCACAGGTGGTCAGGATGTGGTGTAATGTCATATTTATTCGCCCTTTTTTTTCTTACACTAAAACCATTGAGCAAAACTAACCGTGTGTGGGTTTAAAGGGTGGGTGGGGAATGGAGGTTCAAGGGAGTAAGTTCAGGGGAAGGGGTTCTGGGTTAGATGAGATTAGGGAAGGAAGTGGATTCAGGGGAGGGATGTGGGTTCAGGGAGCAGGGGTGTGGGTTCAGGGGCAGGGTGTGGGTTCACGAGGGAGGGGGAAGTGGGTTCAAAGGGGAGGTGAAGGTGGGTCAATGAGGAAAGGGGGAAGTGAATTAAGGGTGGATGGGTTAAGGTAGGAGGTGGGTTAAGGGCGAGGGAAGGTGGGTTAATTCAGAGTGTTGGGGACATAGTTACCAACGAGGGTTTGTTAGTCTTGTTATATAATATTTTTTTAAGGTTTATTTGTATACTGTAGGTGTGTGTGTGTGTGTGTGTGTGTGTGTGTGTGTGTGTGTGTGTGTGTGTGTGTGTGTGTGTGTGTGTGTGTGTGTGTTTGTGTGTGTGTGTGTGTGTGTGTGTGTGTGTGTGTGTGTGTGTGTGTGTGTGTGTGTGTGTGTGTGTGTGTGTGTGTGTGTGTGTGTCACCGGTCGTTGGCTGTTTTAACTAACTTTCCTGTGATAATGATCTCTCTCTCTCTCTCTCTCTCTCTCTCTCTCTCTCTCTCTCTCTCTCTCACTCTTAATGTGAACCAACTACCTCTCATGTTGACTGTGAATTCTTGAGAGAGAGAGAGAGAGAGAGAGAGAGAGAGAGAGCCATCGCAAGAAGATCTGGTCCCCTCTTCTTTAAAAGTGGATCGGGGTGGTGTGTGTGTGTGCCCGTCATTTGCGTGCTATCCTTCTAAGTCTTTTTGGGGTGGTGTGCCATTAGTGCTCGTAGTGATGCAGGGAACGGTGATGTGTCGAGGATTATTTTTTTTCACGATGTCAACACTCGTACACGTCATATTTATATTGAAGTGTGTGTGTGTGTGTGTGTGTGTGTGTGTGTGTGTGTGTGTGTGTGTCAGACTTTCACACACACAAACGAGAGGAATGTTTATGGGAGTCAAAAGTTCTCACCGATGTGGCGTCATATGGTGTAGAGGCCCTTCTTCATCACTCAAGTACAGTCCTCAACTTTGGCTCTCGAGAACTTTCGCTTTATTACCTCCGAGGGAGTTGGAAAATGTGCCGCCTTGTGTTTCTGTGAACTTAAGATTTTTTTTTTTTTGGGGGGGAAGGGGTGAAGGGGGGAAGTTTGATTGATTTGTGGAGAGACATAAACATCTCTTTCACATTATGGCTTCACCGACACAAAAATTATCTAGGTATGAGTGTCAGAAACAAGAGAGACGTAGATGTGAATATTGGGTATTGTAGCTGACAACTTTCACTTCTTTAATAGGGAATTCTTGGTCGTCATCCTGTGTTAGTGCGGTGCTACACAGATAGGCTGATTGATAACACTTGGTATAGAATTGATCAATATTACATGACAGGAGGGATGAATGTCATTTTTTTTTAGGAAATATTAAAAAAAAATCCGACAGATACAATAAGTTTTCATTATAATACATGAATACAAGGCTATCAATCAATATAATACGAGGGTGTTAGTTCACTGGTTAAGAAATTTTGTCAGGTGTGGCTTACGATAAAAATAATCAGATAAACAAAAAGAATCTCTCATACGATGCTCTTAGAGAATGCAGGCAGATCAGGTCAGGTCAGGTCAGGTCAGGAGTCAGTGTCTCATCAGAATTCCAAAGGGTACCTGACTGGGGATGGATCAAGATTCAGCTCTAGTCTGTTCCTCTGTAGACACAACAGCTAAGAAATTCTACTTACTTTTACCATGTTTTCCGTGTTGACTGTGTATTGTTCCGTGTCAGTGTGTGTGTATCATGCTTCCCTCAACCATCCTGCTGTACAGACATTTATAAACTTGTGTCAATGTTCCCTCTAATATGTGGATTAATTCGGTATATCAAGTAAAACCAACATGATAAGGGTTTGCTTTCTGTGTGTTGGGTAAAAAAAAATGATACCTGTTGACATGTCCTTTAATCCTGGTAATTCATTATGATATATTATCAAATTTTAATAACATCATGGTTTCTTAGGATATAATTGCACCAAAAAGTATCTTTACGATTTTGTGTGAGATAATTTGACACAACGGACGAAGGATTTTGACAATACTGTACTTCCGAGACAATATGAATCTTAGTGTTCATTGTGAAATACTCAACAGGTTCTCAAAAGGCGTGATGAGACAGAGATATATGACTGTATGTTTGGTATAGACTCTCGTGTGTTCCCTCAGACGTGCCGTCCTTCGTCAGTCTGACAGGGCCGTCACAGGTGGAGGAGGGGGCGCCCATCTCCCTCACTTGCGAGACGAGCAAATCCAACCCTCCCGCCTCGCTCGTTTGGAGAGTTCAAGGTAGGTAGATACTCAGCCCCCCCCCCTCACCACCTCTATATGTAGATAATAAGCCCCCTCACCACTCCTCCATAAGTAGATGATTAGCTCCTCTCACCCTTTCCATAAGTAGATAATTAGCCCCTTCACCCCTCCATGGGTAGATAATCAGCCCCTTCACCCCTCCATGGGTAGATAATCAGCCCCTTCACCCCTCCAATCCTCCATGGGTAGATAATCAGCCCCTTTATAGGTAAGAAGGACAAAGGAACGTAGGTAATCATCCCCCTCACCACCTCTATAAGCTGATGGAGAGTTAATGTTACAAGAGTTTTGAATAATATATCTATAAATTACCGTTTAGTATAGGCTAATATAAGAGTTTCCGTTTTACAGTTCCTTTTATTTCTCGCGGTCAATAATAATTCAACATAGTAAACATATCTAATTTCTTGTAGAGCTTTAATGACATAAGGACAGCGATAAAATTTCTATAATTGTTAGTTGAGTGTAATGATACGTTGACTTGTGGCGGCAGGTAACTATAATCAACAGCAACAGGTGGGCTCTGAGAGTGTGTTGTGGTAATCAGGTGTTCTCTGTAGCGTTTGTCCTAGATATTATACCAGGTGTGACTATGATTCATTATATAATATTCTATCCAAAACATTTCTGTCAATAGTGATGTTTCTCCTTGTGATTATGACAGTAGGTATTATGTTGGAGTAACAGGATATGTTTGTTGTGGTCCTGCGTAGGAGAGACGGTGACAGGCGAACCAGAAACGATGGTACGGGTCAGCACAGGAGGATGGGTTACTACGTCTCAGTTGACCCATTACAAGGTCAGGTCACGTAAGGTCACCGAGGTAGTGGTTGAGTGTAAAGCCCTTAACCCCGCCATTGACCAAACTGTGACCAAGACTCGTATTATCGCCATCACAAGTAAGTGTATTTTTTACCTCAGTGTGACGATTCGCTTAATAAATTCTTGCTCTATTTATACTTTTCTCGTCTTCCATTAACCTTAAACTTTCACTCCAATCATCTAACTAAAGTACTAAAATAATACTCCCTCACTCACTCTAACAAATGAAAAAGTTAAACTTTCTATTCGACTCTATAAACTTTTTCTCAAATATTTCAATACTCCTTACAACTCCATAAGCAATCTCTCTCTCGATATATTTACCCTCTTCCTGAAAATGTATTGACGCAATTTAAACTTCAACACTTTGTAAAGATTCTGAGAACACTTGACCATCTCTGGTAAATCCTTCCCTACTACTCAACTTCCCTCACAAGGCTGACAACACCTCACACGGCACTACCAGGCTTTTCTACTACACATTTTCCTTACTTCGTTGTACCTAAATTGGCTTTAACGTTTTTGTTTATTTTTACATTTTTGTTAATTATCCCGAATATTGAATAAACCTAAATAAATAATGGCTACCTAACCTAAGCTAACCTAACCTACGTGACGCATCTCGACTCTAACCTAACCTAACCTAAGCTAAGCTAACCTAACCTAACCTAACCTAACCTACGTGACGCATCTCAACTCTAACCTAACCTAACCTAACTAAACCTGGCGTTTTAATGTATCACACCTTAACAATTTATATTTCACTGCTATAAGACTCTTAACATTTATCAGGTCGAGTTATAAGTCTTCGCAAATTTTAATAATACCTCGACGAAGCTCCTACTATTTAATGCTTCCCAGAATAAGTCTCTAGGTCTCATCTCCATAAGACTCTTCCCGCTCGGGCGCTCTCTGATAAGTCCTTCACGTCTCAGTACTTAACAAGACTATGATAAGTCCCTCACCACTTAATAACACCATCCTGTCAAGTCCCTCACCACTTAATAACATCCCTATCAAGTCCCTCACCACTTAATAAAACCATCCTGTCAAGTCCCTCACCACTTAATAACATCCCTATCAAGTCCCTCACCACTTAAGACACCATCCCTGTCAAGTCCCTCACCACTTAATAACATCCCTATCAAGTCCCTCACCACTTAATAAAATCCCTGTCAAGTCCCTCACCACCCTAATCACCTGAGACACTTAATCACCTTACGGGGTCATTTGGTACGCAGAGCCCGCTGGTCCACCGAGGTTCGAGGGTGACTTACACAGGCAGTTCTTGGCTGGGACGACCATTGACCTGTTGTGTTCTAGCATGGGAGGTCATCCTGCACCCACCATCAGGTAGGTCACATGACGGCCTGTATTCGTTAATGTTTATATCATACTGCTTTGATTGTTGTTGTTTATTTTGTTCTTGTTTTCGTCTTATTATCATTGTTTTCGTTATTATCGTTATTATTATTATTATCGTTGTTATCGTTATTATTATTATTATTATTATTATTATTATTATTATTATTATTATTATTATTATTATTATCGTTGTTATCGTTATTATTATTATTATTATTGTTATTGTATACGAATAAAAACATAAATATGAAAAACACAGATTTCACAATACTGTACTGTACATTAACGAGAGTCGACATGTGACACTGTTTCAGGATATACAAGGAAGAGGAAGAGATACCGACGGAGGTGGTGAGGGAGATGAACGTGACCCGTGGGAGAGCTAAGGTAGGACTCACCCCAGCTGACAACGGTGCTAAAGTGACGTGTGAGGTGACCTCTGTAGGCAGCACCAGCGCCCCCCTCACCGCCTCCGCCAGACTCACCGTCACATGTAAGTTTATCAGTAACGTCTTCGCTTAGGTTGCACAGAGCATGAAAGGGTTTTAAGGTGTATAGTGAAACCTTGATATAACGGATTTTCTCTCCATATAGTCCGTTAAATAGAGGTTTCACTAGAGAGGATTCCCAATTATTCTAGTTCTGGTCTATTCAAGGAAGATTAGTAACCACTGATCTTACTTAGTTTACCACCAGTTTCAGTGACAGATTAAGACGACTCGACAAATTCTGATTGACTTGGCTGTCGTGTAGGAATATTATCTTTTCCTTTCTGAAATGATTAATGAGAACTTAAATATTAATGAAGGTTTATTTTCAGGATTATTTATAGGTGTTCAGAAAGTTTACCGAATTATTTCTATACGTATGAGTAAAATCGAGGCAAAAACAACAACAAATGCAACAACAACAACAACAACACAACAACAACAAAATCACGAACAAAAACAACAGCGGCTTCGTATATGCAAAATTATTCCATGTATAAACATTGTACATAAAGTATATATATTGTGATTCTATCCACTACTCAGACTTCATAATAGATGCATAAAGTTCACCATAAAACGTATTAAAATTGCACATAAATTTTCGTGAATAATATACTGAACATGAGATTATTTCAAGGGGATTTGGGTCAGTATAGAGGCTAAGCTGTTCTTGTGGATGGCGTCACTTAAGGCTTACATTTGAGCAGCAGTTGTGTAGTCCTTTGATGTTACCGAGGTTTACACATATCTTTCTTACCTTGACATAACGAGACACATGTGATCTTTTACCATGCTAATTTGCATATGCCTCAGTTAAAGTAATAAAGAAAGTCAGTTCATTCCTGTGTTTTTCCTCCTACTCATCAAATCCACTTGTTAATGGAACGATCATATAGCATAAGGTGCTCAGTGCTGCACAATACCTCACTCTCTTCTTTGGTTTTCTTCATGTTATTATCATTGTTATCCTTGAATATAAATAATGCTTCACGGTGATGCATACTGCTTGTCGTCCGATCTCTCTCTCTCTCTCTCTCTCTCTCTCTCTCTCTCTTCTTTTCTCCTCTCCATCTTTCTCTTCTTTCCATCCTTATCTCTTCTCTCTATCCTTCTCTCTTTTCCACCCTTCTCTCCTTTTCATCCTGCTCTTCTTTCCTGTCCATTCTCCTCTCCTGTCAATTTCTTTCTCCTCTCCATCATTCTCTTCTCTCCATCCTCCTCCCCTCTCCTCTCCTCTTTTTATCTTTTCATCCATGAAGACTTTTAACGTTGTATTATTTTCTTCCGTTGTCCTATGGTTGTTTACACATCTATTTGGTCACAGAGGTACCGTAGTATTAGCTTCGTCATGAGGGTTATGTCAGGTTCCTTCCCCCACTATCTTTTCACCAAGGAACTTCCTATCTTCTTTAACTCTGTGTCGGTCTATCTTCGTCTTTTCCCCAGCACGATCCCTTGTGTCTGTGTCTGTCTCAATATCTTTTTTTTCAAACTGACGTGGGTAATATTTGCTTTTCCTTCCTCTTCTTCCTCCTCCTCCTCCAACTATGTGTTTGTTGTGGGTATAAATCGCCTACAGAGTAATTGATAACATTCTGGGTCATTACTACAGCATTGATGGTAGTAGCGTCTTGAGGTGGCAATTATTCTGTGATATTTTATAAGTGACTTGGTTGGGTTAGGTTAGGTTAGGTTCTGTGATATTTTAAAAGTGACTTGGTTGGGTTAGGTTAGGTTCTGTGATACTTTAAAAGTGGCTTCTTGTTATCCTATCTCTCTCACATTTTACTCTCATAACACAATATTAGGCGTTGTCTCCCTCATCTCTCACTCAACATGTACTCTGGTCGTCACCACACAGCTCCTAACACTCACTCACATTTTTATTCTCATTCTGACGCGTCACTGAGTACACTTCACACCTTTACACACACTTCATGAAACTCAATTTGTATTTTTCTGGTCTTGGAATATAAACTGACTGACTGGTATTGGTTTTATCATGAAGGTGTGTGATAGAATACGATGCTGTTTTATGTTGAAGTGCATCAAGTTCATTCTTTTATTTCATTCATTGATAGAAGAGATGGGTATTAAGGTTAGATATTATATAAGATTGTTTCAACTTTACTAACGTTACAACAACTACCTATTCAAAATTATGTTGAAAAATATGATACAACGGACGAAGTATTTTGACAACCCCTACCGAGACAACAGGAGTCGCAGTGTTCATTCTGAAACTCATTGATCATCCCGAGTACAGATAGTTTTTTTGAGTGACTGTACAAACTCCGGCTGTGTGTGTGTGTTACTGTACAGATGTAAGCAGTACGTGAGACTTTTGCTAGGGCTGTCTGTTGAAACTTTTCTCATATTATCTACGTTTTTTTAAAGTTTCCTCAAAAAGTGCATCCGTTTGGTTAGGTTAGGTTAGGTTAGGCTGTGACATTTGAAATCATGATATATATATATACTACGACTACAAGTTAACACTATTTGAAGAGGAAAAAGATGACTTCCTGTATCCGGCAACAACCTTATTGTATTTGAGTGAAAATATAAGTTCTGTTTTCCCGGTAATATGAAACGCCTAGACTGTGTGCCAGGAACAGGTAAAAGAGAGAGACATTGTTATTACTCACAACACGGAATGTTTTGATTTTGGGGAGGAAAATTTGGTATTATGGATGAAAAATATAAATTATAATCAAATGACTTTGTTTTTCTTTATTTTATTGAACTTGAAACAAGATTCTCCGTTCTAGAGAAACGTGTTATCTCTTTCTCTCCTCCCCCTCTCTCCTCTCTCTATCTCTCTCCCTGGCTGTGTGTCCCAGGGGTCACTGAGCCAACAGCACCAGCAGGTAAGGGGTGTCTGACCTCACATGTCGTTCTCTCTCACAGTTGCACCGTGGGAAGTGACAGGGTCAATGACTCCCGCCACAGTAGAGGAGGGAGCTTTAGTGAGTCTCTCGTGTGAGTCTTCCTCCAGCCTCCCGCCCTCCAACATCACCTGGAGGTCGGACGGTGTCACCATAGATGACGCCACCGTCACGAGTAATCAGGGAGCTTTTGGCGGCACCAGCACAAGGTGAGTCTTATCTTGATACTCTAGTATAGTGGTGGCCATGGTGACGACAAATTATCTTAGTCTTGGGTTTCTTTAAGTAACTCTCACATACATGCAAACTTCCTCACACCAGAAATTATTGATACACCAGCAAAGACAAGCAAATGGGATTGTATGATTCTTCACATTACGGTGCTTTTGTTCGAGTCTTGACCCTGGGATATTCCTATGGGACGAAGTATCCATAAACCACTTCAACACATGACACCGGTACAGTACAAACACCATCATACTAGAGACAGTTATTAAAGTCCTGCTAAAAGTATCTTTCAAGGTGAACGTGTATCCAGCAGTGTTATGTACCGCAATGACGGTGACTTTTTTGTTTAAACTGAACAATCTTGGTCATAAAATGTTGAGGCACCACAAAGGAAGACTTTAATCTCTTCAGATCTTTCAAGTTCATAAACACAGATAACATTACTCCCGTGCACGACCCTTGTCACTGTTCATATTGCAACTTTTGGTGTTAATTCTCTTGTTGATATTTATTCGATAACTTTTGGTGTTAAGCCTCAGGTCCAGTTGTTAATATGGTTAAAGATCTTTACTTGTGTTTCTGGAACAATAGTTAGATATCTAAAGTGCTGCCACTGAAGCAATAGTCAGGAATAAATTCGTTTTATTCAAGGAGTCTTACGGGGTCAGAGTCTTATGTAATCAAATACCTCACTCGCAAGTAGAGAAGAGCGCCACAGATCCTCCCTAGGGAAGAGCAGCACAAGGCGTCATTCCTTCCCCAGGGGAGTTTCACGAGTCCTCTCTCCTACCCAGGTCGGAGATGCAGCTGAGGACAACAGCGGGAGACAACGGTAAGATGTTTCTGTGTGAGGCAGACAACGGCCTGGGTCCCGCTGTCCACACCACGCTCACCCTCCACGTGCTGCGTGAGTACCTCCTACTGTCTTACTTTACGGAGTCGCCCGACGCTTGTTACTTCCTCTTAGTTGTATGTTTGTAGTGTAATGGTGATGTTAGTTTAATAAGTAGCAAATCTTGTGTGTGTGTGTGTGTGTGTGTGTGTGTGTGTGTGTGTGTGTGTGTGTGTGTGTGTGTGTGTGTGTGTGTGTGTGTGTGTGTGTGTGTGTGTCTGTGTCTGTGTGTGTGTCTGTGTGTGTGTGTGTGTGTGTGTGTGTGTGTGTGTGTGTGTGTGTGTCTGTGTGTTCTGTTATCGCCACGTGCCGGCCACATGTTAAGTGAAGAAACTGTTTGCAACTCAGGATAGCTTACTAAGCGAGATGGAGCTGGCAGGAGCTGTGTGACTGCCTGAGGACCAGAGTCTCGCCTTCTACCGTAGAGACAGCATCTTGATTTTTCGTTCAGCCAACATCTTCCAGCAGGACATTATATTTGTTCTCGTTGATCTAACCCTAGACCCCAAGACGTGAGTGTGAACTGTTGAATCCTCTTATGAACTCTAAATAACTTTAATAAGTGTATTTATGTACTGTACATTGATCATATTATACAAACTGTGTCCTGATGTATCAGCAGTTGTAACATGTGAGCTATATTTAAGAGGTTAATAGGTGACATACTGCATATTGATCGTACTATTCATACTGTGTGTCCTGATATACCAGCATTTGTTATATGCGAATTGTTCTTTAACAGGTTTTGACCGAATTATACTCATCGCGTCAACGACAAGGGTCTTATTGTCCTGCACAAACCAAAATCGCTCCTATGATTGATTACAGTGTCAACAATACAAAACACCTTTAACTACACCACACTTGGAGCCAAATACTGCCTGGAACACAACAACACTTGTTACGCGGAGTTATTGTTATAAGATCTTTATCTCATAAACTATATAATATTTTGTTACGTCTACCCGAAAATAAAACTTACGATATCGTCTTTAAGTTTACGCAAACTACATTTTGCATATTGAGAGAAAGTAACTCATAATAAACTTCAATTAGAACTTCTCTGCTTCATGTAAGTTATAAGAACAGCTGTTTTACTTTATCATAAATTCAGGAAACAACGATACCCTGGTGTTACTTTATGATGGAGAGAGTAAACCATTCTACACTGTCACGATCCATCATCATCACCACACCAGCTGCGCCTCACGTATAAATCTCAGATCATCAGACAGATTCTCGCCACACGACTAGGCTGTCACACACCCGGCCGCTCATCACCATTACTCATCCTTGTGTCGGTAAACTTTCCTCACTTTATCTTATCAACTAACCTACGTATTGCAACTCTTTCTTCTCCTTTAATTAAAATATCTGTGTACTTTTCTCTCTGTGTACCGGTATCTAGCAAAATTTCACCTGACTTCCTTCCTGTTCGCATTTTCAGTTCTACGTCATAATCAATCGTTCCGTTTTTCGCTAAGGCATCAGTCTACCCCTGGGTGTATTTTCACTACTGATTCTCAACAACAAAGGCAGTCTCTCTCTCTCTCTCTCTCTCTCTCTCTCTCTCTCTCTCTCTCTCTCTCATATCCTCTTTAGTTCATTATTTTGTAATCCGATTTAAATATAATGAAGACTACTTGGATCTATATTAAATTTCTTTCATTTATAAACCCTCAGCAGATTCTTATAATAGCCTGAACATTTTGTAGGGTAGGATAGGATAGGGTAGGGTAGGTTAAGCTAAACAAGAAAGCTGTCAAAGTTTACACCATAATGCGAATAAACAAGTGAGCGAGACTTAGAGTAAGTTCGATCTGAACTTAAGGTTTATACGTCAGTCTGGGAGGCGTCGTCGACCAAGTTTGTTCCCTCACTGCCGCGTCGTAACTCACAACTATATTTCTGGCGCTGCTCTATAACTTGTCAAGGGCGGCTGCCGGGAAAAAGGAAGTTTTCAGCGAGATGTTTGACTTTTTGGATATATCGTCCACGATGACGGTATGAAGGAAGCGAGTTTTGTGTGGCTCTTAAGAAACTTTTTATTGATTTATTATTCCTGTACAATATATTCGTGTGTATATGTATAGGTATTGGTTTACTAGTGTATGTGTACCCAGGTCATCATCATCATCATCATCAGGTGAGAGAAGGTTATGAGTAAAGCGACAGGAGAAGATCAATTTCTTTTTTGTAACAAATTGTATGTTAAGAAAAAGTTAATTAAGGTTCGTATTATATAATGTATTTAAGTAGAGCGTTTGTGCCTAAATTACCAGTGATGATGATGATGGTGATGATGATGATGATGATGAGGATGATGATGATGATGATGATGATGATGATGGCCTTCATCTAAGAGTCACTTTCAAAATAAGTAAATCCGCCTGCCAACAACTTTTCCCCTCAGTAAATATTAAACCACGATTGTTTGTTTGAACCCACGACCTTCAGATACTCACATATGTGTCTATCTAAAAATGACATATAATGTAAACGTGTTGTATTATAGGACACAAAAGCCGGAACATAAAATAGTTTGATATGTAAACCAATGAAATGATTTACCAATAATTGATACATAGTTTGAGATAAAAGACAACACAACGAACAATTATGTTTTGGTCGTCACTTTGATTCTCCCAATAACAATAGGATTTATATGTACTGTTTATACTCAGTTTATATTCCATAAGTTATTGATTTGACTTATACTTTGGAGCTTGAGAGATATATTTCAAGGACTATCAACGTACAGGACATCAAGAACCGCAGATTAAGTGTTATTGTCTGTCCATAGTCGATAAATTCCTCGAGAAAACATTACACTGTACCGCCCAGACCAGACACAGAGAATCTTGTTATTCAAGTTGAGTTTTTGTTTACTCTTTTGACCTTTAGAAACTTATCATATATTATTAACGACTCAAACTATGATCCAGAACGAGTGTTTTATTATGACCTTTACTGTGTTGCTTCCCTGGTAGTGTTAGAGAGAGGCACACGCAGATGTTAGTTAATCAACAGCTGTGCAGGTCTACCAGAACAACACCCCACATCTATACCAGATTTAATTCGCGTGAGAATAATTTCAATATTTATATTTCTGTCAGAAGCCATTCTTTAATAATTTACTAATGCACTGCGCTCATACGACAACTAAAACCAGTTCATAAAATGTTGCTTATTTACATTGTTATATACTGAGCCTTACCACTCTGCCAGCTGATGAGAGAATATTTTAATATAATTTGGACACACTGAATGTCCGGAACACGATAGATCCAACAATATAAATTTCGAAATATTATATTGATTTATTATAATTTCATCGAGAATAAATAAATTTTCTGTGAGGTGTTACACTACAGTGGTCGTCTTAACTCCCACTAGACACACACCGATAACGTTCATACCCTCACCCTCGTTCATATATTCAACTTCATTATTTTTATATTGTATACAGTTACTTATTTTTCAAGCCTTTACCATAGTACCTACACGGTCTACACTTCTTCCTTCCAACCGAGTTTTGTATCCAATTCTTCCCTCTCAGTCAACCTCATTTTGTATGCGTTTCACCTTAACTTCATCTTCCTTTACACTTTTCCTTTACACTCTTCCACACTCTAAGGCCAACAAAATCTTAAATGAATCGCGGGTCATGACTGTACCATCAGTATTCAGCATCATCTCACTTCTCTACGCATCTCCTGCACGTCCACTGAAGCCTTTCCCTGCTTATTGCCTACAGCAGTCTTCCTCACCCTCGCCGCCAGTGTACATATTGACAGTCACGGTCGTGTATAGCATCTGCTGCCTGGACCTGACTGGCACACCAAACACTCACTCACTCACTCCTCTACCACCTCTCTCACACCCTACTCAACTGGCTTTATGGTATTTAATTCTGCCTGGCTCTAGATACATGTTCTCTGTGCTTGATGTTTGCACTTTCTTACAGTACAGTGTGTGTGTGTGTGTGTGTGTGTGTGTCTGTTTGGTCACTTGTGAGATCTTCCCCTTCCCAACATTTTTCAACATTGATATAGAGAAATAGCGACAGGGGTTGTGATGAGAGAGAGAAATCTGGGTACTTTATCCAGAGGGAAAACAAATTTGAAAGAAAAAGGACAGGTGTGCTCTTGACAGGTGTGCTCTTGACAGGTGTGCTGGTAACAGGTATAATGAGGACAGGTAACAAGCCTTGAGTGAGGGGTGGATGATAGGGTTAGAGGGGCTGTGATATTGACTGATGATGAAATCTGGAATTACATAATGGAATACAAGGATCACCTGGAGATTAGGTACCATAACTTCACTCAAGAACTTTAATAAACATCAAACAATTTCTAATGTTGTCACACTAAAAACCTTTGTCTGTCTCTTCTAGTAAGTCGTCTTTAATCACTTTTTAATTTATAAAGGTTTTCAGCCTCTATACAGGAAAAAATTGAAATGAGTCGCCAAAGTGAATTCCAATTCACACTGTCAGTTTACAAAGCTCTACAAATGCTCATTTGTAATTTCATTGAGCAGGAGAGGCGAGAGCTGTCCCGGCTTTTTGACTCTTGCAATAGAATAGCGAGATCACTTGGGAATGTGACTAGTTTTTGCAAGTAGTCAATTCAACGCTGTTGATTTATTCTATCAATGCACACACTAGTGATGACCAATGTGCTGGACTATGAGAGAAATTCATGCGAAGACTTTAGTTTGACTGTATGACCAAGAGAAGCATATTTTTACATGATTCAATAAACCTGTAACCTGGCCTGTAACCTAACCTTCAATAATTTCTGAAACTGTAACAACTGTTTAGGAATCATGAACTTTGTTTCGGTGACATAATGATACTTTGTTATTATTACTAAATAAACTTTTATAGGAACCTGTTTACATTGTTACCAGGCAACTCTAGAGAATCCAAACTCCCAACCCAAATATAATAATCTAATTTAGTTTGAGATTCCTTCAGACAAGACGATTTGATATATAAATATAGTGGTGATAAAATGAATATAACGAGAGTATTAAAAAAAAACCCAAAACTTCAATATTACTCTACGTTCCCTAAAAGGTTCTAACAGTTATTATGAAGGGACATCAGTTGGCGCCTCACGCAACAGAAACCACGAACTTGAGACTGAAACACTACGTATATATGCTGGACTTAATGTAGACCTGTTAACTGAGCCATAACGAAGGTCAAGAACACAGAATGTCTACGAACACTGGTGAGAGTTTTCTTTAATAATTTTAATTGTACGAATCCATCTATCAAACATAGGAATATAATCCACGGTGACCAAATACATTCTTAATATTTTACCATCAACAATCACATCTCATAAGACCAGAGAAGGGAGGACAAATACACGAGGAACTCATCAGGTACCAGCAGCACGAGGCAGCCTAACTACTATACACTACACTACAAGGTTTCTTTTCCCTGACTTTCAAAGAACTCGTTGCTTCCTGAGATGAAAACTTGAGCTCTGGCATAACAAAAGTAAAAACTCCCTCAGCATGACCATTGTTAGTTGAGTTTGTATGTATCAAGTCTTTTATTTACCTTCAGCGTCTCTTCAGGAAAACCATTTGGGGGTTTCTATTCAGTAAATGTATTTTGTTACGGTACAGTATTCAGCGAGAGGTGAGGAGGTGCTCCATTCTCAACCATTTCTTCGTCTTCCACATCATATGAATCAGTAACATTTCCAGACGCTAAATTAAGTCATATTTCTCACTATACTTCTCCCTTGATGAATACCAATGATCTTTTAAAATTATATTGGCTTGTTTTGATGTGAAAGCTGTGTGGAAATTTATCGAGGCAAGAAGCGTCTGTCCTATCAAGCAACCTACTGTACAATCAGCGTCCTGTCAATAAATCTACAAGCAGCGTCCTGTCAAGCAACCTACAAGCAGCGTCCTGTCAAGCAACCTACAAGCAGCGTCCTGTCAAGCAACCTACAAACAACGTCCTGTCAAGCAATCTACAAGCAGTGCCCTATCAAACAACCTACAAACAACGCCCTGTCAAGCAACTTACAAGCAGCGTCCTGTCAAGCAATGAACAGACAGACGATGACCTGATTTGACCTCGAGTGAAGAAAGAAACAGTAATATCTCTTTAGGAACTCAGTATACGGCCTTAACTTCAATACTTATACATTTTTGTGGCAATAACATATTTTTTTTAAACTTTCAGGTCAATTCTGAAACAAAGGAAACTAAATTTAGCCGCATTTTATTATTTGTAGAAAAAAAGAGAAAAAACAATACTTAATGGCTCATGGCTGTGTGTGTGTGTGTGTGTGTGATACGTAGTGTACATCTTCATATAGCACAGCACACCACAGCACAGCACAGCACAGCGTTCCCTCCCCCGGTATATACTCTATCTTCAGTGAGTCAGCCAGGCAGTATAGCACTATCTTGGTCCTCTCCCCGACAGACCAGTCAGGCAGTATAGCACTATCTTGGTCCTCTCCCCGACAGACCAGCCAGGCAGTATAGCACTATCTTGGCTCTCTCCCCGACAGACTCGCCGGTGTGGGTAGCGAAGCCGCCCCCAGAGATCGACGTGTACGAGGGTGACGACTTGGTGGTGAACGCTGAGGCAGCCGCCAACCCGGGACCTGCCAGGTACTGTGTGACCCACCTAGTTACTCCCACCTCCTAGTGACCCGGTGTGACCCAAATGAGGGACCTGTTAACAATGGGTGGTTGGTGGCAGGGTAGAAGAAAAGACTGGGTGGCAGGGTGGAAGGAGAGAATGGGTGGTGGTGGGTGGCAGGCTGGGTGATGGGTGGAAGACTGTTGACCAGACATAATTTATTTTTCTATGAGTAATAAAAACGAACCAACCATGACATTACATTTTAGTGGACGGTGGAATGTGTGAACCAAAGGATTTTTAATTGGACTTATAGTTGTGTGTTACTTATTCTATATATATTCTTCCTATACGCTATACTGTTCAATATTCTTTGTCTCTAGAAACTATTTTATGATGAAATTCTACTGAAATATCTCTGGTTTACTCAGTGTTCTAACTTATTGTTCTGAGGATTAGTTTGTAGAAATGTCTTGTGTCTATATAGAACACAACAGCGTGTCCATGAATGTTAAGTGCCCCTGGACGTTGTGTTGTGTGTTAGGTCGATAATGTATTTCGCATTGTGACTAAGTTATCTATGTGTTGCTATATACCACTAAGGATTAATTCAAGCAGTCTGACTGATCATAATAACATAGAGCTCAATTGTGGACCAGCAGTGATTGTTCAGTGTTCACGTCTCATACTTGAAGCTTGTTTGTTAACTTGCATGCAAAATATTTATTCTTTACAAACATAACAAGTCACTCATGGCTAAACACTTGGTCACGCGTTACATGTAATCCATCATATATTGTATTCAACCTCAGCCGTTCAGAATGGCTACCTGTATCACTAGCTGTTGGTTCTAATGGATAATCTTAATCGTTTTATAAAGATTAAATATTGACCGACTGAGAATAATTTCCTCGTGTGTATTAGACTTTGATTAAGTCTTCACACAGGTTAACTTTACATGTTGGTATTCTTGCCATAATTTCATGTTTTTAACGCTGTAGCCCAAGTCAGTCACAAGATTTTGGTTGCGCGCGCACACACACACAGTGTTGTTATAAGACCATCACCACGACCAATTTTGGTTGCAAAAAAGAGCTATATGACAGAGTGTTGTGGTGGGGCGCCATTATTGCATCGCCTTGTGTGTAAAATTTTCGTCACGGCGGATGTTTTATTGCATATTTTTCTGGCATCTTATTACGCTACAAGATACTTTCCAATTTCATGGACGCCCCACGGGAAAAAAAATGGTTTCTGGATAAAATGATGAACGCTCAGTAATCATGTTTTTATATATATATTTTTTAAATCATCCAATGTTATGTCACATAGAACGGGAATACTATAATTCTGTTGTATAGTGAATAGACATTTATATTGTCGTATAATAGATTATCTTAAATAATAATAGAGCAACCATCTCACCTTTAAGCTAATATCTATACAGGTGTTACTGAAGGTAATTTTTGAGATTGTGTAAATACGAGTAATTATCTGTTAATTAAGATATCCAGGTGTGTGGATGACAGGTGAGTGTCCCGTACAGGTACTGGTGGCGTCGGGGGGAAGAGACGCTGATGGGGACGGGGCAGGAGCTACAGCTGGGGCGGATCACCAGGCAACACACCGGCCACTACTCCGTCAGCGCCTACAGCCAGAGGGGATCAGTGAACGCTTCCTTTTATCTCAACGTCCAGTGTGAGTGTTGTAATAATTACTCTGATATAGTTAACACGCTCGTCACACACACTGATGAAGAACAATCATCTCATCCACACACAGAGAAGAACACCCAGTTAATTCTCCCGTAATGAACACCTCTTATTCATGAACATTCTGAACCTAAAATTACAATATTTGATGTTAAAGATACTCTTATAAATAATGATCTTTACTTAAGGGGTTGAATCTTATCAGGTAACGAGAGGCCAAACTTATCTTTTAAGCCTTTACGTGTGGCAGACGCTACTTACTGCACAAAAGTATCGGTGTATGTGTAGTATGTGTAGTATGTGTAGTATGTGTAATATGTGTAATATGTGTAGTATGTGTAGTATGTGTAGTATGTCTGTGATCTTGGTATGAGTTATGAGGCGACATGGATGGTATCTTGTGCTCTCCTCAGACGGGCCAGAGAAGGTGCAAACAGGTGATCGTGTGATGGTTGAGGAAGGAGGAAGGGTGAGCACACAGTGTTCCGCCACAGGTAACCCCGTCCCTAACCTCACCTGGACAAGGGACCCCATCTACACCCACAACAGGTGAGTAAATAACCTTGGTCTCCTACCCCAGCCGACTCTAGTGTACTGTAGATCAAGAAACACATTGTCATTTCACAACCGAGTCCCTTTCGTCACCATACGCACAGCAGAGTGATAGCACAGACACTTTGTAGCCTCTAGTCTGCAACTCTTAGGCTCTACCCCTCACACGATGGGGTGCACAATAAACTAGCCAATTGGCCCAAAGACACCACCCCTCACCTCACCTGGCCCAGGGACACCACCCTTCACCTCACCTGACCTAGGGACCCCACCCCTCTCCTCACCTGGCCCAGGGACCCCGCCCCTCACCTCACCTACCCCAGGGGGTTAATAAAATGATCTTTAATAGGCCTCAAGTGATTATTCTTCCACCTAGATTAAATATTTTCCAGGAATCTTATGAAGAACTTGGTAACTTGTTATTGACTTTCGACCTGGATGGCGTGTGGTGCCCCTGACCCATCGCTTCACCACCTAACGACCACGTGTTCCTGAACCAGTGCTGTAGACACGGCCGAGTGATGGGGGGTTAAAAAAAAACTCTGAATAACAATCCTTTGACGTAAGATTCGTAATGACGTGGACGATATGGAGTAACTCAGATCTAATCAGTTAATGGACGGTAGTGATCATCTTGCCATTGAGAGAGATGATTGCCGTGTGGGCCGGGATTAGGGAGGTCACGTATGATTACCTAGATACTGAAATGTCATTACACAATTAAAGTTTGATTGTTGGTTTCCTTAACGCTGAGGCTCAGGCAACAGTGATACGTCTACCAAGGCTCAGGCAACAGTGATATGTCTGCTAAGGCTCAGGCAACAGTGTTAAGTCTACCGAGGCTCAGGCAACAGTGATATGTCTACTAAGGCTCAGGCAACAGTGATATGTCTGCTAAGGCTCAGGCAACAGTGTTAAGTCTACCAAGGCTCAGGCAACAGTGATAAGAGGGTACAGTTACTACAGAGGGAACCATTTAATTATCTACTCTACCATTAGCTACCTCACCTCTCACCTCTCACGTCTCACCTCTCACCGTCAAAGTTTTGAAGAACAATGGTCCCCAAAATACAGCTCAAACTGAGTTGATGTTCTATCTAAGTAATCCCGACCATCTCGCTAACCTTCCACAAAAGACTCTCTTTGGGGCGTGGCTTCATAAAAGTGTTGCAGATCTTTTGAAACTGAATGTCCCAATCACCCCAGACGAACCCGTTAATGCCATTCCTCCTTGGCTGGATATATCAGTTCCTATTAATTACACTCCTGTTGGTAGTAAGCAAATGTTAAACACCGATGTGATGAGATGTGTCACACTAGAAACTATTAATAGACACATAGAGAGTATTAAATCAAGTGAATGTTATGCTTTTACTGATGGTTCTGTGCAGACAAACACAGGTAGAACAGGCTGTGCAATTGTAATATATAAAGAAAAAGAGATGATAGTGTCAAACAAACAAAGACTGATCAACTGGGCCAGCACAACACAAACTGAACTAACTGGAACGTACTTAACTACAGACTACCTTAGAAAATGGAGGTGGGGTGATATTCTGTGACACTCAAAGTGCTTTGAAATCAATGAACAGTCCGTCAGGCTCTATGTCTAAAGTTGTCTGTGATAATAAATAAATGTGATAACTGCCAATGATAACAACTCTCGTATCGAATTTATGTGGATTCCGTCCCATGTTTGAATTAGGTATCGTGACCGTGCTGATAGACTGGCCAATGAGGCATGTAAGAAAGAAAATGTTGACCGTGACCTTGGCCTGTCCAATGCTGTACCTAAAAACATTCAGGTCAGAATCATGAACTCTGATCTAGAAGAACTGAGAAATGCAGAGAGACCTGACAGTTGTAGCATTAGTAAATATGACAAATTTTGTGACAAGAGGTACCGGTATGACCAGCATTAGGACAGAACTAGACAATGTGATATAGTCGTGGCCAGAATTAGGCTAGGATACGGACACATCTGGCAAGTTAGTGACGCTCTACCCTTACCGGAACACTTGGCATGTAAACTTTGTGATAAACCTTTAAAGCATACACTTGAACACTATATTATTGAATGTGACGCTGTCAAAGACTTCAGGCCACCAGGCTTATTGTATCATGAACTTTGTAATTACTACATTGAATCAGGGGTGCTTGAAGACATTCTTCCTGTTTATTCAAAATTTGCTAGCCCACACTGATTAGTCTTCAATTAGAATATGACGTCCAATGTATATGAACCACTGACCTGCATGGCAGTGAACAGTGACATGACCCACATGACTCTGACCTATATATACTGCTCATGAATTTGATCTATTCCTTTGTGTATGAACCTCTGTCCTGTGTGGCAGTGAGAAGTGATACCACCGTCAGTGTCAAGACCTGACTGAATTACTCAGAATAGGCAAACTGTACTCCAAGCTTTATCAATAAATTTGTTAAACTAAAAAAACTAAATCACCATCAACTACGTACCTCATGCTCCTCCCATTTACTTAACAAGTAACTCGAAAAATTATCTATCTCTTTCTCTCTCTCATAATCTCTCTTTGTCTCATTTTAGCCTTCTCTTTCTCAACCACCCCTCTTTCTCATTATCTGTCTGTCTCTCTGTCTCTCTTTCAATATAAAACAAAATATAATTCAACGTCACCAGAATGCACTATTAATTTAGTCTCCCTCCCTCATACATCCTCACTTATGCAGCGATCAGGTGAAGAATCTATTGCACATCTCACCCTCTCTCTCCCTTATACAATATTGACCATTTATTATTATTATTATTATTATTATTATTATTATTATTATTATTATTATTATTATTATTATTATTATTATTATTATTATTATTATTATTATTATTATTATTATTATTATTATTATTATTGTTATCATCATCGTTATTTTCGCTATTATTATCATTAATATCGTTATAATCGTTATTTTTACTATTATCATTATCGTTATTATCGTTCTTTTTGCTATTATTATATCGTTAGTATCGTTATTATTATCATTATTATTATTATTATTATTAGTATTATTATTCTTATTATTATTATTACTATTACTATCGTTATTTTATTATCATTATCGTTATTATCGTTATTTTTATTATTATCGTTATTACCGATATTCAGCCCCACAACACTCGTTCTTTAGCTTGCCATCATTCTTACATATTTTGTGTGTCCTCGCTCTAAAGTCCTCCTCTAGAGGATGTATCTACGGGTTACTTCACCTTAAAGATACAGAGACAAAATCAAAGGAACTCTTCTACGTGTTTTTTTTCTAATATGATAGATATTGGGATTTTTTCCTTAATGAACTTCTGAACTAATAGAGGATATACAGTATTGATTCTCCTTCATGATTGTAGTATCTCTTATGCATGAACCAATACAAGTGTTTTCAGTTGATGTTTGTACCGATACCCTTACCGATATCAGTACCTGTTTGTCTATATTATTCACGGTATCGGTTATTAATCTTTCAATGTACACCGGTAATTAACTAATGATTTTACACTAATAACTAAATGGTTCTACACCGATAATTAAGTATTTATGATTCTCCGTTATTCCTAAGCTGAGATAAAGTATTGGTGTGTTGTGAACCAAAGTTATTTTATTCAGTGAGTCGCTCGTCCCTGCGTCAACAAGAGTGATTCTGTGATGAAAAGGCGGCTCGAGCACCGACTATTGGCAGGTAGCTGGTCGACTGGCAATTTGTCAGATGGCTTTCCAACCAGATAGATAGATATCGATACCCTTTCTGAGGGCAGCTTTTGTGGCCTTTTAGGCTGGGGATAGTCAGCTCGTCTTTCTTGTTCAGAGTGATAGATGTGTTTCGCAATATTAAAACAAAAACCTTGAACTTTCAGCACGGAAACCTTACTAGAATATTGTTGACCATTTAATCTTTTTTTTTTTCGTTTAAGTCTTTAGGGATGTTTTATGATACTCTTATAATTGTGGACAAATTGAACTAAAATGTTGTGTATATAACATGAGGTGTGAGAGCCGCACCCCGACCCTCACTACCTCAGAACACACACTCATGCCTCGCCTCCCTCTCTCTTCACTCACAGCTCGGGAATAACTCTGGGGTCAGGTGTGGGCGTGGCGCGGCTGGTGATAGAGTCAGCGACACGGTCGGACACGGGCGTGTACTTCTGCCACGCCCACAACGTGGTGGCCTCGGCACCCCCGGCCAAGACCCACGTGGTTGTGGAGCGTGAGTACCTGAGATGATTACTGGTTATTATATGATGCCGCAATGAGTGAATGGTGCAACATAATGAGTGAATGTTGACTGTAAGGTGCAACATAATGAGTGAATGTTGACTGTAAGGTGCAACATAATGAGTGAATGTTGACTGTAAGGTGCAACATAATGGGTGAATGTTGACTGTAAGGTGCAACATAATGGGTGAATGTTGACTGTAAGGTGCAACATAATGGGTGAATGTTGACTGCAAGGTGCAACATAACCACTGTCGTTAACCTCCATAATACACAACATGTTATCATAATAGATGTAGTGATATTGACCTTCATGGACAGAACACAACAACTAACAGCATGTGTTTCCTCTCCTGGTCGAGGTTAAATGTAATTCCAAGTTGTATCTTTGCGAAACAATATGTTTTGTGGTAGATACGTATGGCTGTGTGGTACTGTGGTGGTGACTGTGGTGGTTACTGTGGTAGTGGCTATGGTACTGTGGTAGTGACTGTGGTGGTGACTGTGGTGGTGACTGTGGTGGTGACTGTGGTGACTGTGGTAGTGGCTATGGTACTGTGGTAGTGACTGTGGCAGTGACTGTGGTATGTAGTACTGTGGTAGTGACTGTGTGTGACAGTGACTGTGTGTACTGTGGTGACTGTGGTGGTGACTGTGGTGACTGTGGTGAGTGGCTATGGTACTGTGGTAGTGACTGTGGCAGTGACTGTGGTACTGTGTTGACTGTGGTAGTTGACTGTGGTACTGTGGTAGTTACTAGTGGTGGTACTGTGGTAGTTGACTGTGGTACTTGTGGTAGTGACCGTGGTACTGTGGTAGTGACTGTGGTACTGTGGTAGTTGACTGTGGTACTGTGGTAGTTGACTGTGGTACTTGTGGTAGTGACCGTGGTACTGTGGTAGTGACTGTGGTACTGTGGTAGTTGACTGTGGTACTTGTGGTAATGATCGTGGTACTGTGGTAGTGGCCAGCAACTATTACCAGTGTGTAGCTAAGGATCTTCTCCACCCCTAGAGGAGGTGAAGGCAGCTAGCGATGTGCCTGGTCTCCGAGGGTCGTGGACGTCTGTAGGCGGCAGTGGGCGGCTAGTGTGTAAGGTGAGAGCCGCCCCGCCACCCACCTTCGTCTGGAACAGCCAAGGCGGCCTGATCCTCATGAACAGTGACAAGTACACCATCCACGAGCCTAAGGTTAGTCCTGCTGACTGACTGACTGACTGACTCACTCACTCACTCACTGAATGACTGACTGACTTACTCACTCACTCACCCCTGCCACCGATCTCCATCAATCAGAGACTCACCATCACCGCCTCACCATCACCCTTACAACATCACCATCAGCATATCATCATCACCCTCAACACCTCACCATCACCCTCACCATCACCCTCACTCTCACCCTCACCATCACCCTCACCACCTCACCATCACCCTCACCACCTCACCTCACCAGCTACCATCACCATATCACTATCATCACCACCATTCACTACTCACCACCTCACCACCACCTCACCACTAACACCTCACCACCATCACCCTCACCTCACCATCACCTCACCATCACCACCACCATCACCCTCACCACCACCACCTTACCATCACCATATCACTATCACCCTCACCACCTCACCATCACCACCTCACCATCACCCTCACCATCACCCGTGTTATGAAGGTCACTCTCCTCCACAGCTGTTGGACGGGCTGGTGCTGTGGTCGTCAGTGTTGGAGGTGAGGAACATTGTACCACACGACTACACTAAGTACCACTGTACAGCCACCAACCCTCACGGCTCTGATTCTGTGGTGATAGTGCTCAACCCGCCCTCGCGCCCACACCCGCCCCTCAACTTCACCGTCAGTATCTCCAGTAAGGTCTTTTGTCTGCATGGCGTGGTGACAACTTCTGACGGAGTGGGGGAAGAGAGGGAGGAAGAGAGGGAGGAAGAGAGAGGAGGAAGAGAGGGAGGAAGAGAGGGAGGAAGAGGGAGGAAGAGAGGGAGGAAGAGAGGGGAGGAAGAGAGGGGGGGGGAAGAGAGGAGGAGAGGAAGAGAGGAGGAAGGAGAGGGGGAAGAGAGGGAGGAAGAGAGGGGGGGAAGAGAGGGATGAAGAGAGAGGAGAAGAGAGGGAAGAGAAGATAAAGAGAGGAGGAAGAGGAGGAGGAAGAGAGGGGAGGAAGAAAGGGAGAAAGAGAGGGAAGAGAGGGGAGGAAGAGACAGAGAAGAGAGGGGAAAGGAAGAGAGGAGGAAGAGAGGGGAAGAGAAGAGGCAGGAGGAGGAAGGAGACAGGAAGGAAGTGTAGAGAGAGATAAATGACTATAAATGATCCAGTGAGAGGTGGGCAGGGTTAGGGGCGGGGCTAAGGATGGGACCAGTTTGTAGCCAAATATCGTTCAAAATAGTGATATTAATGAGTCACCTGTAGTTAATATATACATTTTTTTCATTTACTCATTCTTGTTTTATTTAATTATTCTTGTTTTTATTTTTCTTGTTGCTTCCCTTTGTCTCATTCTTCAAAATCACAACTCCGTAATCTTGGCCAGACATAAAATAATGTTTCCAAGCACATCCATTATCAGTAAGTCGACCCCAGTCCACTAATATACTCCCCAGTACACTAACATACTCCCCAGTACACTAACATACTCCCCAGTACACTAACACCGCCTCCCTCCCCCAACAGGTAAGCAAGGTAGCGGGCGGGGAGGTGTGGCTCAGCTGGACTCCCAACCTGGACGGCGGCGCCCCTAGCGGCTACACCGTCAAGTACAGACGTTCAGGTTCACAGGAGTATAAGGTAGGTCTTGTGTGCCGCTGTTTATGTCCTCTTCAAGATGATGTGGTTAAGGGCAGTGACTGATGAGAGGACGACATGGAGAAACAAGTGCAGTTCAGAGATCCCTTGTCATCGTCTGTGTGTGTGTGTGTGTGTGTGTGTGTGTGTGTGTGTGTGTGTGTGTGTGTGTGTGTGTGTGTGTCTTTTCGCCCCCGACAGAAAGATTTACGAGTCATAGGATATTCATGTCTCTCGTAAATGTTTCCTTTGGGAGTGTCATGTTCTAGTTCTAATGTTTAAGGTCAATAGGTCAGTGATTTATAAAATTACTCCTATGGTCCTTCCCTAGATCCTACAGCACGAACGAATGGCCTCCTTGGGGATCCTTAATCTTGGATAATACTTTCCCATAAGAGGTCCATAAACTACAGGGCGGAGAGGATAGAGGACGTGGTTTTTTTTGTTTTTTTGAGTCTTGGAATGAGAGGAATGATGATGCTTACGACTAATAACTACACGAGTTAAGTATAGGCAGTGGTAAAGCTCTTGTGGTTCATGATTACTCCTCTCCTACCTGTGTCTGACAATACTAATTCAGGTATAGAAAGAACAGGTAAGTGAGCGTTAGTGATAGAGTAAACTAATCACAAGCAGTGTTTTGTAGTTCGGTTTTATAGAAGCATACAAAGGTGTTGCTTTTACAGTACTTGGAGGTGCAGGAAGGAGGGACGTCGGCAGCGAGGGTGACTGGGCTGGCGTTAGGCGCTGAGTACACCATCGCTATCCAGGCCAGAAACCACCACGGTCGATCTCACTTCGTTTCCCGCTCTATCTCCACCTTGCTTGGTGAGTCACGCCTGTTTCATCAGTCTCACCTTCTTCATGATCCTAGTTGTCACGGTCTCTGGTGAGTCGCATCTTAGGTGTCACGGTCTCTAGTTAGTCACGTAACAGGTGTCACGGTCTCTAGTGAGTCACATTTTAGCGTTACGGTCTCTGGTGAGTCACATTTGAGCGTCACGGTCTCTGGTGCGTCACATCTTCCTCATCATCTTGGTTCAATGACACCATCGATCATTATCACAAATCACTGAATCTCGGAATCCATAATATTTGACACGCTCACATCTGTGTATTAGATAATGTTATTATGAGTATGTGAGACTGTCAGGTATTTCATCCTGTGGCAAAGCAGAGGTGAAGGCAACGCTCTCAAGGTTATCACGACTGTCTGGACGTAATTGAGTGCGACAGCGGGAACAAACTGTGACAAGGGTGAAGTGATAATATCTGGTTATTGAGAGGAATATATCTAGTTTGCTAATCATAATTAAGCAGGTGAGAAGTGTAGCTTTGACACAGGTGATCAAAACAAAGGTAATTTAGACTAGACCATGTGAGTTACTGTATGATCCTCTCGGACTGGGGGGAGCAGAGAGGACTGTGTAGCTGACGTGTACTGGGGATACTGGAGGGAAGTTTTCAGTTTGGCAGTCAGGAAATGTATTAGTACAGTTGTCTAATATAGTTGGGAAGGTTAGAAAAGTAACAAGAGAATTCGTGAAAGTATTAAAGTCACATGAATCATATTATTCTATACTTTGTGAAGAATACTTTGGAAAAATTAATTAGAGAGAATGTATGCAGCATCTCTTTAATCTAGATAATGACTATGAACAAGAGGTTTTGTGGAACATGTCAAGAGTGATGTAGGAGGAAAGTAAAAGGCTTCTGTGTAGTGGTGCAGCGGTGGATGCAATTTACATGGAAGGACTGGACTGAACTGAACTGAGGTTGAAGTTGAATTACGATGAAGGAGCTTAATGTTGATGGTATAGTTGTTTAATGTAACGAGAGGTGATGATACCGATACTGTATATGACCGTAAAATAACACAAGGGGCTGAAAGAGGTATTACTTAGCGAAAATTCTGACACAAATAAAGGTACAGCTTGTAGTAATGTACCAAGGGCTTAGGGAGGTTGTTGATGTATTTATTCTGTGACTAGGTGAGACAAATCATGCAAGAAACTAGAAAATTAAGGGATAAGCTGAAGGTAATGTAACTACAGTACATATGCATGGAGTGTATGGATGTAGAATGAGTAAAATAATGATGTTGAACTATGAGAAAAAGAGCTACAAAGGATAAAAGAAAATGAAGTTAAAGAATAGTATATATCAGGTGCCTAAAAGAGAGCTCTGGTTCTCAACTGGCTCAGCCATGTTAATATTGTTATTATTATCCACTCTGTATCTGTGTTTTTTCCGGCTAAATAAACTGTTTCAATTCAATTCAATTCAATGTAAGTACACGTATGAGAGGGTGAAGTGCAGTACGCGGAGAACTATGGCACATATACAGTATGGTGAAGGCTTTGTGGAGGCAGTGAGTTGTGCTGTGGTGGGAGTTAAATACGACTTAAATGAATGCCTTTCAGTGCATCACTCATAGTGGCCACTAACTGCACAGTGTTGTCTCTGGGTGTAGGCAAGAATGGGGAGCCGACCAGCTTGCAGGGTCTGGCTGGCGCCACCAGCAGGCTGCCGGCGGGGAGTGGTGACCTCAGCCCAGAGCCTGAGGAGGCTTCCAGCAGTACGGCCGAGGGCGGCTCTAGAGTACCTCGTCTCATCCTGCTCATCATGACACTGACGGGCGCCGCCCTCCTCGTCCTCAACATCGCCATCATCGCCTGCTTCGTGCGCCGCCGAGCCATGAATAGAAACCCTTCTGGTAAGTCTCGCTGAAAATACTTCACAGTTGTCTTCGTCTTTTTTTTGTGTACCTTGATACCTCCATTACAGGGTACCATCTAGTGGGTCAATTTTAATTTTTTAATTTCCGATGGACTGAGACGCACATAACAGATCATGATTTACGGATGGATGATGGTACAGTAGTTAAGATGTCTCTACCATGGGCAGTTGTAATGTGTTTGCGACTGACTGAAGTTATGTGAGCTTCCTTCCCTGAGTAATGTCAAGGACTATTTTTATCTACGTAAAAACTAGTGCATGAGACGACGATGCCCAAGGAACTGTCCCAACGAGAGACTGAGTGGGCAAGTCTATTGGGATGGGAGAGAGACGTGACTTGTAGGTCTGATGGTAAACACAGAGAGAGAGAGAGAGAGAGAGAGAGAGAGAGAGAGAGAGAGAGAGAGAGAGAGAGAGAGAGAGAGAGAGAGAGAGAGAGAGAGAGAGAGAGAGAGAGAGAGAGAGAGAGTATATATATTTATTGACAGTGAGGAAGAGTTTTCTTATTTTGACTCCTGTTGGGCGCTGACTTATGACAGTCGTCGCAGGAAGAACTCTCTGACCTGCAGCTGGGGGGGCGAGCGTCGAGCAGAGGACAGGGTCTAGGTGGCTGGTCGGGAGAGCCTGTGATAAACAAGACCCTGACCGAAGCTGCTAAAGTCTCCAACTCTTTTAGAAGGCTAACCTAACCTAACCTAACCCAAATATCATAATAATTAAGGAATATTATTATTATGGTAGATATGATTCACTAGTATCTCTCTGTATCTCTTCGTCAGCGTCTTCGTCGTCCAAGACTGTGTCCCTGGGTACTTTTGGGGCCACTCCCGCCTCCACCCCCGGAGTACACCCGAGCGAGGTGTTCCTCTCCCTCAACACCATGTCCTCCAACAATACATCCAGCTCTCCTACAGAGTACAAGGTAAGTGTCTCCCCCACACCATCATGCTCCCCCAACAGCACCTCCAGTTCTCCCCCTGTGTGTGTGTGTGTGTGTGTGTGTGTGTGTGTGTGTGTGTGTGTGTGTGTGTGTGTGTGTGTGTGTGTGTGTGTGTGTGTGTGTGTAATAAGGGACCCCATGGGAGAGGGGAGTTGAATATAAAGGAAAAATAATGTGGGCAAGAACGAGCAGGAAACCTGGTGGAGCAGAACTAACTACCAAACACGAGGACGGTAGCGGAGTGGAGAGACATCATCCCTCCCTCCCACCATCACTCCTTTCTCTCTCTTTCCCTTCTCCCTCACACTCTCGCTCTCTCACTATTCCTCCTCCCATTCCCTTCCTCTCCCCACCATGAGCACCTGGAGGGAGGGAGGAAAACAGATTTATAAGATGTATAATAATCATGTATAATCGTTACCAAAGTAATATTTTAAACACACGGAATTATAGATCCATTTTTTAAACTCTATAACCAAGTTTTAATAATACGTGTAAGTCTTTCATAATATTTTAAAACGTTCTCTTGGGGTATAGGTGTAAAATGTCAAGTCAATATGGCGAGCTGTGTGGAGCGAAAACTTAAGCACGGAAAGGACGCGAACGCCGGCTATTGCTATATCTCTCTTTAAGTCGAAGGATCCAGCGGGGAATAATAATATAAAAAAAAACTGTGCAAGCAAAATACCTTGAGGGGATTTGGGGTAGGTGAGGGGAGTGGATGAATGACCCTCCCTCCCACCACCCCGGGAAAAAATATTATCAAAAATACGCCACAAACGATGGTAGGAACGAGAGAGAGAGAGAGAGAGAGAGAGAGAGAGAGAGAGAGAGAGAGAGAGAGAGAGTTTACCCTCCCTCAGCCACCCAACCGCTCCTCCACCACACCGTAAAGATAAATTCGTGGACCAAGGCTAAGACTGCTTGGTGTGGTGTGGTCTTGGTGTGGTAGAGATTGGAGAAATGACACAGCCCAAGTCCCTCTGTTACTATTTTTATAATATACTGTAGATATCAAATGAATATCAAAGTTTAGTATTGAATTAGAGATTATAATTTCTTTCTTATACCTTCCATTTCTATAATTTCCAGCCAGCGATCTTAAGGCGAGCCGATCTTGTTCATTAACAAGGTTTAATGTATAATTTAGACAGTAGAAATTATAGGGAATTTTAATACATAGAATAATTGTATACGCTGTTTTAGATACAAACACGAGGGGAATGAATTATAGGGAATTTTTATATATAGAATAATTATATACTTTGTTATAGATACATAGACGAGGGGGAATAACTATCAGGTGATTATAATCTGTATAATACTTGTAAAATTACCTTCATCTATCACACACACACCATCTAGTTCCTAACCTACAGTCTTTAGTTGTTTTTTAATAGGATTGTTATTCTTACCACCACACGAGAGTCAAGTTGTCAATACATAATAAAGAAGAATTATGCAAAGGCGTTGATAAATGAAGAAGATAGTTGAAGATAATATTAACTTACCTATTCTTATTTTATTACATTATATTATTAACCTCAAGATAGTAACATATAATAAAGACACTAAATATAACAATTTGTATCATTAATTTCACCTCTACAACAACTGTCACCTGTCGCTTATGTCAGCTTATTTGTGTATTGTTTTGACAGTCGGTAACACAAACATACAAACACGGGGTAATTTTTTGTTTACCATACTGTCATGTCTGGTAGTCACTAGATAGGTCACCATAGCATACTTTCCTCTCGTTGAACATCACTTCTACTCCACAGAACGACGAACGACCACAACCTACATGCGACGACCCCTCACAGCGCCCCGTTGATATTACCTCCTCATCGTCGAGTGAAAATCCTTTACCCAAGGAAGGAGAACCATCCAACTATGATCATGACTTGGTTAACTTCCCCACGGAACCAGATATCTGTTCCTTAGGTTCCAGTGTTTATGATAATGTTCCACCTGAAGACCCACGAAGGAGAGGTTCAGATGCCTACCCAGCCGAAGACCAGTTCTCTGTCTGTTCCAACCGCAGCAACAACTCCCGCGTCTACTCCCAGGGTTTCCTCCGTCCACTGTCGTCCCTTGGGAGTCTACAGCAGCAGACGACGCCGCAGTTGATCCAAGATACTCTCCAAGCTCTACCACGTCAATCCCAGCAACAGTATCTCCTCAGACTCGCTCAAGCACAACAACAATTACTACAGCAAACACCTCCTCCACAACAACATCAACGTCAACATAACCCACAATCTCCCCAGCAACACCAACCTAACCTACAACCGATAAAAGAACACCAACATAATGATTCACAACCGTCGACCCAGAGTATATCACTTCATCAATCACCTGAACAACAACAACAACAGCAACAACCACTCGTTCAGTCATCACAACATCAGCCACACTCACAACAGCAACAGCTACGTCGACAGTCATCACAGCATCAACAGACACCAGGACACCAAACAGCCTCTCATCAACAGCGTAACGTACAATCACCACAACCACAGCCACAACAAAGTCCTCAATCATCACAACAACAACAATACAGCCCACAGTCATCACAACAACAACAGACAAGTCCACTTTCATCCCACAAACAGCAGCAGAGTCTGAAACAACCTCGACAACATCACCAAGCTAGTTTACAGTCTACCGCTCAGCTACACGACCCACTCTCACCGTCACAACCTCCCACACAACCACAACTTGACCCTCTATCACAACCACAACATGACCCCATCTCACAACCACAGCACAAGCCACATCCACAAGCATCACCCCCACAGTATCAACAACTACCACAGGAAGCTTTGCGTGAACCACCAGCATACTCCAACCTAAACCCGAGTGATCTATTTCCCCTAAGGTCTGATAATTACCACGTAGACTACAGACAGACGTCGTTCACCACAGGTAAGGAAACTTTCTATTTAACAAAGATGTTGTTCGTTTGTTGAATTTATATTTCTATAATTAAGACTCATCTTTTCTAAGTGTCCACCCATAAAACAATGATAAAAGCAACTCAAATCTATACAATTACACGAGACAAATAGACTTAATATTTTCTTCATGTTTGGTACCCAATCCAGGAGCGCCAGCAGGCTACAGTACACTGGGAACTCGCCGCCATCGCCAAACGCCCATACAGTTTGCTACTCTACAGCGTCCTCGCTCGTCCCGTGCACACGGCAAACACAACGCAGCGACTGGTGAATATTATAACATAACTCAGCCCTTTCCCGAGGACACCATCCAGTTGAAGCCTCTTCGGTACGACCTCGGAAAGTCTGCCTCTCATAGTCTCTCACAGCAGGAAAACAGTGGGTCCTCAGGCTACTGCAGCAGTCCAAATCGTGAGGTCAACCCAGGAGTGGTGCGGCCCACTCGCAAAACATCCGCCAAGAGTCAGAGCCACACCTTTCAAGGACTCCAGTCCCCCCAGAAAGACTCTGTGGACACTTGCCCTGGCAGCCCCCCAGTCCTCAAAGGCAGTCCTCAAGCCCCGACGGACGCCACCACCCAAGGACACACACGGGTGGCACACAACCACGTGCAACAAGAGAGCAGCGTGGGTCTGCTTAGAAAACCTCCAGGAGAATCTGAAAACCACACAACTGACGAACACAGATAAACATAACATGCTTGATACTTTTTTACTCCGATCATTTATTTATTGTATATTTTTAACCGACGCCTGGGAGCCGAATTAAACATTGTGTATGGCTACAGTATTAACTGGATACAGACGCTTCATGACGTGTCATGTCAAACTATGTCCAATATGTAAATGAGCTAACTGTGATATGCTTTAGAAAACTGAAACTATATATATATATATATATATATATATATATATATATATATATATATATATATATATATATATATATATATATATATATATATATATATATATATATATATATATATATATATATATATTAAACAATCAACACTATAATCGTAGTTCATGTTAGTTATTCACAAGAGTAAGGAAAGATGTACAGGGTACAACTTTATGGTAAAACTGCCGGATATTAGCGCCACAGAGAAGAACCTGAAGCTGCCCCACCAGTCTCTCTCTCAGAGGAACATCAACACCCAGTAGACAAGTGACAGCTTCTAACATTGTATGAGAGAAGATTAGTGTGGCTACAGCCTGACTGCGTCACCAGACCACACCTTGTGCTGACGGGTGTCTCCTGTTGTGATATAATTATTGACATCCACACCCTCCCAGTCAACCACGCCCCTCCGTTATCCACACCCCTCCCAGTCATCCACACCCCTCTCAGTTATCCACACCCCTCCCAGTTATCCACACCCTCCCAGTCATCCACACCCCTCCCAGTTATCCACACCCCCTCAGTCATCCACCTCCCAGCTACCCACTTCACTCTGTATCTCGCTCTCACTTCCCTCCATCCCCTCTCCATCACATACTCCTTCCGTTATCCACTCTCCTCTCCGCCATTCACTGACCTTCCCAGCCATCCCTAAACACTCCCTCAACTCCACCCCGAGGTTCCCACCATTCCATTCCTGCAGGTCTCCAGTGCACAGCCTCCTAGTTAGTTCCCGCCACCCACCCCACCCCAGCCGCCCACTCTACCGCCTGCCCCATCCCCAGTCGCCAACCCCACCGCAGCTTCCAACCCCACCCCAGCCCCCCACTCCACCACCGCCCGCCCACTCCACCCGCCTGCCCTACACCCGTCCCCTGTTTAAGAGTGTGTGGTGTAACATGTGCTCACTGTGACAACACCACCCAACTCGACACGACTCTGGTCATGTTAAAGGAAACATATGTGTTGAGAGTCAAGGTTATTTATGTGCCAAGGTTTATATTCTTTCATCTTCATTTACACTCTCGCCCAGGCTGACTACAATCAAGATCAACACAACATCTCCCACATTAAGCATCAATCGGTCTATCAAACTACCTTACCTATGGTGTTTACCTTCCACAACAAGGTTCCAGGATATTAATCTAGCCCTTCAGTGTTGTTTCAGACATCATCCCAGCACCACACACCAAGAACTCATCCATTCCCCCAAACGCCACCGGGACGTTCTGCTCCACTACCATTCATGAACACTACTACTGCATTATAGATGGTCGTCTCCCCCTCCCATCTAGCGCCTCCCTCACCTCATCTTTTCCACTACCTTGGTCTTTCCCTTCCTCTTCACATTCACTCTTCAGTTAATCACCTCGTTTACCAATATTTCGTCACCAATACTCCTTTATATCCACCACAACACCTTAGCAATCCCTGGTTACAACTACTGTCTGACATTATCTTCCTCCCAATACTCTCGTTCTCTACTCTCGTCTCTCACTTATGGAGGACTCTTACTCACACTTAGTATCTTATCTATTCCTTTGATTTTTTTCATTTATTTTTCAGTGCTTGTTTCCACTTTCATCAGTATTTGTCATTTTCATTCGTTTTCTAGATTTTCTTTGTTTCCAATTCCTCGTCAAACAGAGTCTTGACCTTATTGAAATCCTTTTTGATTCTTTAATGATTATTCCCTTGATTATGGAAGGGGAGCGACCATACCCAAAGCAAATGGTCTATACACACACACACACGCGCGCACACACCTACTGTACATATAAACTAATCACAATAAAAAACTCCAAAAAATCAAACTGTACTCCTCCTAACACAAACATAAAGAAACAATAATACTACAAGTGTCTATCCAGGTAACACCCCCGAGATTAATTACTAAGAGTTCACCTGGCGTCTCATCATGTGTTAAGATGACGGCAGTTTCCTTCACATGATAATCTTCCAACTGTCATCCCATTTCTTGTAAGTTTATAAATATATATATATAGAGAGAATAATAAACTTGATGTATAATTTGGTATTTTGTGTTTCTGTTTACAATAAGATACAGATTAGTGGTAAACAAACCCCCAAAAAAAAAAAAATTGCCCTTGAACGTTTAGAGTGGAGGACTGTGGTAGCCAACCCTCAGATATGAAGACGGTACTATGATCACCACATAGTATAATGATCACCACAGATTATAATGATCATGAGAGAATATAATGATCACAAAGTAAAATGATCACATAGTATAATGATCACATAGTATAATGGTCACATAGTGTAATGATCACATAGTATAAATGATCACATAGTATAATGATCACAAAACATAATGATCACATAATATGATGATCTCATAATATAATGATCACACAGTAAAATGATCACCACATATAATGATCACCACAGAGTAAAATGATCACAACAGAATATAATGATCACATAGTATAAAGCCCCGTCCACACGATCGAGCAGTGCCGGGCTGGCTTTGCCCGATTACCGGGCAAATCCTGTGTGTTGTTGTACACACGGGGGTGGTTGGCGGCAGTCATAGTCGGGCGCCGGTAGTTAGTAGGTGGTTGGCAGTGGCGGGTGCGGTGCGATCACCATGGTGTGTCGCAGGAATAATCGCCGGACAGTTAAAGCGAAGAGCATAGCGTTGTGTACTATAATAATTGTTGCTCTGTGCAAAAAGAAGAACCAAATTCAGAAAAGGGGAATGGTGCAAAGAGTGATTAGGTCGAAGAAAAGTATTGGGAAGTCATGCCACGATTTTACGTAAACTGCAAGATGGACATGAGCAAGACTTCACCAATTACATGAGAATGGACCCCAACACCTTTTACAAACTTCTAACGAAAGTGGAACCATATATAAAAAAAAACAGGATACCAATATGAGGGAGAGTATACCTGCAGAGGCTCGTCTAGAGGCTCGCTCATGTATCCTTCAACTGGGTGCACCTACACGTCACTTCAGTATAGAACGAGGATATCAAGACAAAGTTTGTCTCCCATAATACCTGCAACGTGTCAAGCCATGTCTGAAGTACTCAAGGAAGATTACTTGCAGGTGAGATTTGTAGCACATAAAAATTCACTGAATAATGTTAGAATTATGATATGCACAGACAGGAAGCTATGGGACTAGAGTGAGGAGAGCGGCAGGAACGAAGAACACACACAAATGTCCTCATTACATAATACATAAACAATCTCCCGTTTATTGTCACTCCAATAATGTCATTAATGTACATTGCATAAGCTTATTTGGTTATACACTGGACATCTGGACCGAGCGGGGAACATACACTATCACATTTGCAGTACTTAAAGTCGTCCTTCCATATCGGGCAGCAAACCACCAGGCAGGCCGACCATGATTTCGCTCAATGACGAGCACGGGCACTCCTCTGGTTTGCCCGCCAATTTTGCCCGATAACTGGCATTTAGCGCGTGCCCGCCGGGCACTGCTCGATCGTGTGGACGGGCCTTAAGGATCACATAGTATAAATGATCACATAGTATAATGATCACCACAGAGTATAATGATCACACAGTATAATGATCACCACAGAGTATAATGGTCACATAGTATAATGGTCACATAGTATAATGATCAGAGTATAATGATCACAACAGTATGATGATCACCACAGTATAATGATCATAGTAAAATGAATCGCCACAGTATAGTGATCACACAGTACAATAATCACCAGAGTATAATGATCTCCAGTGTATAATGAACACTACCACAGTATAATGATCACCATACAGTATAATGATCATCACACTTACTAGAGGAAACAAGGTGTCATGAAACAGGTCCGGTATTTCACCTAAATTTGAGTATCAAGTTTTGTGACTCCTTCATCAACATTAAAGAGGGGAATGTGTCAGGGTTTACCGGGAACACTGTGAGGTCATTATAATTCGCAGGTGTGTGTGTGGGGGGTTGGGGGGCGTTGGGGGGGTTACTTTGGGATGCGTGTCTAAAATAATGAAATGTAGTTTTCATTTATTTTATGTTTTTACTAGAAACTTCCCTGGTAGTGTGACGTCAAGACTATAAAAGGGATGTCTATATTTATCAATTAGATCTGGAAATAAGATATAGTGAGTGTCATAATGTTAAAAGGTGTGTGTGTGGGAGAGTTTAGTCTACCTCACGTATATGTCCTTAACACACGATGACATTATGCATATTCATGTAACACAGAAGAACGTAATAACGAGGTCTTTAACGAGGTCTTTAACGAGGTTCCTTAACGAGGTCCTTAACGAAGTCCTTGGAGAGAGAGAATTCGCTAACCTCACGTGATGACATTGATACATTTATGGATATAATATACTCTGGTGGTTGATGGCATTGGGGATAACACAACAGAGACTATGTTCTATTATTGTGGTTACTAGTGAGAAGAAAATGTAATTGGTGTACAGTACTGAGAGGAAAAACACAAGAGACATTACGAGTCCTGTGCAGTGTGTGTGTGTGTGTGTGTGTGTGTGTGTGTGTGTGTGTGTGTGTGTGTGTGTGTGTGTGTGTGTGTGTGTGAAGAAATTGTACCTAAACCGTGAAGGTACAGTTATAATAATATACAGTGACTCAAAAAACTCTCTGTACTTGGGGTGATAGATGAACTTCAGAATGAACACTGTCTTCAGGGAAAGGCGAGGAGGGAGGGTGACTGAGTTTAGTTAGACATAAGACATAACATGGGGTATTCGTCATCCATTGCTTTGTTTACATTCCTTTTCACTGTCCATAGCTCCCCTCAGTCGCTGTTTGGACACTTTGGTCAGTTGTTATAGTATATACAAGTGATCGTGGGCCCTTCGTGTCCGGTGGCGAGTCCGGTGGTACAGTTTGCCAAAGCGTGAAAGTTCGAACGCTCGTGCTTGGCTAGCGTGCAACCGCCGTCCTGCTGACACTGTACAGCGACATCGTTTTCCAGCGTAAAT